ATGGTGGAAAGTGACATTATGGGGAGCTCTGATACATGGCAGCACGTTCTAACGACAGGAAGATCACCTGCTCTCATGCCGCCCCTCAGATACGGGGTAGGGGGTCCAGATCCAAGGTTCCCAACTCCCTTTAGCCCTTTGTCCACGGGATGCCATTGGGTGAGGGTGCCAAGAGAGGGAGGGATTGCAATTTAGTTCAACCCAGTCTTTAGAACTTCATCTCATTCGTAGTTTAAGCAATCACTGTGGGCAACTCAGTTCCCTTGAAATACACAGTCAGGTTCAAAGACCCTCTCCCTTCCCTTCTCTTGAAGGCGGCATCTGGATGTTTGGGGGGCAGGCATGGTGCTTCTGTCTCACCCAGTCCTTTGCAAGGCCTCTGTTCCCAAACCCCCCTCCCTGTGACCCCCTTGCGCTGACTCCAGCATCTGCCTGCCCCCGGTATTCTCAGAGCCCCCAAATCGCCCGCCCACACCCGCAGCCTTAGCCGGCTCCAAGAGGAACTCCCTGTCCTCGCCACCCGACTGGGCCTCTTCCCGTCATGCCCTGGTGCCAGGACAGGCCTTCCCTCCCTCAGGATTCCATCCCTCCCCTTCCCCTGAAATTGGAATGGACAGAATGTTGGGAGGAAGAAAACAAGTTTCCTGAAAAGGGAGCACGTGTCAGAAAGTATCCCCAAGTGTTAACTCGTTTTATAATGTAAGGAGGAAAAAAGCAAGGCGCCAAATATGTATACACTGCCAGCGGAAATTACATCATATGCACATAGAAAAGTCTGAAATTACATCAGATTTCAAAGTAAATCTTATTTTTAAATTGTATGAACAAAATGTTATTATAGTTGTTTTTCAGCAACTGCAACTCAGAACTTGAGTTTGAATATAACTCCACTTCCTGCAAGATGCACTTGTCGCTCACTTTCCCACTGGGCTTTGTTCAGTCCCCGGGGGGCCGCTGCCTAAGCCACGGAAGGCCGACCGGCGGGCAGACCCGGGGGGCACAGGACGCCCGCTTCTCCCAGCCCTGAAGGAGGCTCTGCAGAAACACACGGTCCTTCTCCACTCATCATAGTAACTCTAAAACTGAAATAGAAAGTTGTAGTTCCTATTAATGCTGAAAAGCCCAAGAAACAGGGCACCATGTTTTTGCTTGCTTCTGCAGATCTTCAGATCACTCTAAAACTCAAGCAATTTCAGTTAAAAGTTCCAATATCAGCAAAATAAAACCATACAGATTTTGTATGTTGGTTTTAATTACTCAGTTTTGAAGGAAATGTAAAGCCTTTCTAGGCCTGATGCTTGTTTTAAATAGATACCTGAAAGTACTTTTCCTTCTTTGCCAAAATTTTAAATTTAGTATATTAAGGGGAAGAAAAGGCATTTCTTGATGTAAGAAGGATAGGCGGAGGCTTGCATTACCCAAAATGTGTAGACAAAATTATAAAATAACAGAAACAATCCAAGTATTTTATAATATCCTTATAAAAGAATATATTCTTGTAGGAGAATATTATAAAATATTTTCTTATAAAAATACAAGAAAAAATAGAGACATCCTATTGATCAAATGCATTTCAGCAAGGTTGAAATCTTCATAATAATTTATATTCCTGGAATTGAGTAATTTTCTGTATATTCTTATAAAATCTTTTGATTTCAAATGATCAGTTAAATCAAAAATATGTAGGAAAAACAATTTGTGAACAATATATAACTTCAAAAATTCTTAAAGGTTCACGTTCTGATCAATTTTCCACCCCGTGTCCTAGATATCTCTTCCCTTCCATCAACTTATTTTACTCAAATAATAATTTTATTTTACAAAGGAAATAATTTATCTATAACCAGGCTAAAAATAGAGCTTTCTAGGTTAACTTTTGAGAAAATACCTTGGACAATTTTAGCCCAAAATTACCTAGTTTCAAAAATTGTCCCTAGTCATTGACAGTAAAACGGAGTGATCGTCAGTCAGTGTCCTACCTCGGATCAATAGTGTTGATGGGGACACAGGTGTCAAAGCCTGTGCTTGAAACAAGTTGTTAGTCAACATTCAATCAAGGAGGACACTGAGGCAGTCACACCAAATGCCAATCATAATTCCAAGTATCCAAGTGTGCCCCAGAATTGATATGCCCATTTTGATTTCCTGAAACAAAGAAAATTGGGAAGACAAGAAAAAGTTCAGACTTGGGCCATAAAGTGACAATCAGCTGGAGCATCTGATAGTAACAAAATGCTCAGAGCAAATACCTAATAAATTCTGAAGTACTGGGTAGAATTAAGGCCCAGTTCACTGGAGCAGCAGCATGGAATAATGACACCTGCAGCGGTGTGAAGGGACCGCGGCCACCAACACCCTGCAGCCGCCTGCCAGCCCCGCTTCAAGAGCCGGCTTAGCCTGAGACTCGAAGTAGGCCCAGAAAGACGTGGAATGCATTCCCAGCAGGTTATAGTTAGGGCTGTTTGGGGGGCTTCTCTAGCCCTTCAAAGACGATATCCTAAATGACAAGCATATTCTCATCCACCAGCAGAGGTAATATTGGAATGAAGCACTGATTTGACCTCGGGTGACATTACGTAAGCTCTAAAGACTATTTCTCTTTCAGGTAACCAGGAAAAGAAATTCTGAATTACTGACTATACAATGTGGGGAATTTAACTGTCAAGACAACTGGGAAGGAAATCAAAACTAAAAATGTACAAATCATCATTTAATTAAGAAAGATGGCTTGCTTTCTCAAGAAAAATCATATCCACTCTGTCAAAATTCTGAAAACACAGGCAGGCATACTCCCCGTCATCGGAGTCCAGGCAGGCAGTCACCATCGAGAACCGGCCCATCGCACGTTTTAAACAGAAAAAAAACTGTGAACCGTCCCTGATGACTGGCACGTGATGAGGAAAAAGATGCTTATTATAAAAACCCAAAGAGAGTCGCTGAAAAATATTTCACCTATTCCTGGGTGACAGTCAAGGTGACAGTAAATCAGGGTCGCTTCCAGCTGCCCTTCAAACATTGCTCACAGATCATGTACAAGTGCGACCTGCTGTTTCTTTCAGGTGGGGGGCTTGAACGATGCATCAGGAAGCAAAGCTCTTCATATGAATGTACATGAAGGATGACTAGACAGGTCTGTCTAAACGTATGATGTGTACAGATGTGTTAACACTGGCCAGGGGACCTGCGCTCACACTTGTGTCTGTAACCCACATGCACGCACACACACACCCTTTGGTTCTTAGGTGTACTAGTTTTATAAGGACTGTTTACACAGTATATCATTTGGCTGCAAATAATTTCTGAATCGTTCCTTTACAAGAAAAAGGAACTGGGGTTCAGGTGTACGTACCATGGAAAAACCTTAGTTTTCTTGTTACTGCATAAGCTATTTTAAAAGAAGACACTACACGGGGAGAAAAAGTGAGTTTGTACTTCCGAACAGAACTAATTCCTGTTTTCTGTCGCAGATGAGCGTCTTCCTGTCATTTAATAACTCCACCGATACTCCTTCGCGTGAACTTTGACGTGCGCACAGTGAGATTAGCATAGAGGTAATTCAGTTCAGCCAGTTTTTAATGTGCTGCTTAATGAAAAATAAATTCCTCTGCATCTCTTTCAAATGTTCCACTACCAAATATACTTACTGCAAAACTCAATTTCAATAAAGTAGCACCATATTCATAGATTTATAATAAAATGGGTGTTTTAGTAGATACCTCTGAATTTGCTTTATGCCCTATGATTAGTGATTTTAAGCATGATTTTAATGCTGCCAAAAGATAGCAAGATACTTAACACTGACAGCAACATTTTAGCAGCAAATTTTGAAAATAAGATGTTCCCTAGTAGAGACAATGCTCTGGGAGCTGGGCAGACAATGCTCCCCTAGTTACAAACCCCTGAAGATTCACTCCCGTTGGTCTTGAAAATGCCTGGCTTTCCCCCCCTGTTCCCGCACCAACTGTCCTCGAAAGCGAAGAGCTATGACGAGGGACGAGGACTTCAAATATTGTGATACAGTGATAAGGTTGCCACAAGGAAAAGAGTGGTAGCAAGAGATGAACCCACTCACGTCCATATCTGGGAGACTTTGCTTGTTGGAAGTATGACAGGCCAGCCAAAAGCACTTGAAAAAAACCCCATGGAGAGAAAAAATGAACATCTAGCACCATCCTCCCCATGACATGCCTCCGCCCCCCTACGTTCCGGGTGCGTTCTGACTGCGCAGAAAACATGGTTCATGATGGGGAGCAGGACGTGCGCAGACACCGGCCTCTGGGGAAGGCGCCCTTCGAGGCAGGTGTCTCCCCGGCTTTGGACTGGCCTTTCCCCACGAGACAGGGAAGAGCTACTGGGGGATTGGGGGTGGGGGGGCAGCCCAAGCCCGTCGGCGCCCTCGGAAGACCCCCTGGATGGCGGCGGTTCCCGACGAGGGGCGTGAAGTAGCCGGTACAGACTGGCTGTATTTGAAGGCCCAGAGAGGACTCTTCGTTGGGTCCCCCAGTTTTTACATCCCGTGTCACCCCACAGATGGTAACAGCCAGGGAGTGGCAGCCAAGACGGGTTTCCTTGTATCTAGGCGGAGTACCCCCGGTCGCGTCCAGTCCTGCTTGCGCGGGGCATGAGCCACGGAGTCTGCGGCCACAGCTCAGAGCCACGCCCGTCACTAGGCTCCTTGCCTCCTGCGGCCACCCGGCCAGGACTGCCAGCCCCCGGCAGCGAAGGGTCAGCGCCCCGGACTCCACACACACAGCTTCGTCTGTGACTGCATTAAAAGCACAAGGCCCAAGGGAAGCTCTACATAGAAAGCATTTATTATTTTTATTTCTAGTACATACATGTTTTAGGAAAGTATCAGGTATCCATGTTTAAAGAAATGAGGAAAAAACAGTTGCAATTAGATGACTTTTCAGAGGTGAAAACGGTTGATTAATATATTTATTTGAGGTCTGATGGTGACTCTGTATAGGCACAAATTAGAGATTCTCTTTTCGATTGTGTTTTTTTTTTTTTTTTACTATCTTTGAAAAGCGTCTTGAAAAGCATGACAAGCACACTTCCTCACAGACGAGGCCAGCGATGGGGCGGGAACCGGGCTCGAGCCGGGCAGAGCAGCCTCAGGGCCGTGGCACAGGGGGCTCTGCCCCGGACGGGCCCCGCTGGGCCCTGCGGTTGTGGGCGGCGGGCTCCTCCGCAGGGCGGCCCGGTCTGCACACCAGCGTCCTGATCCAAGGTTTAGCGGGCGCAGGTTCTGCTCTCGTTACACACATTCATCCTAAACCTCGCCGAGGTCCAGCAGCGCCCCTGCGCCTACCGCATCAGGACTCCCCCAGGCCCGGGCCGGGCCACCCCTTCGCTTGCACCAGGCTCTTCTCTTTCCCTAGTTAAAACCGTTCCCCCAGTTTGCCCTTATTCTGTTTCACATCCTCTGCTCTGCCCTCCCTGCTAGTCCAGCTTCCGGGACAAATAAAAACCCGCACTACTTGTGGCTGCTGATCCCGACGGAGAAGGCCCGCCTCACCCCCCGAGGGCCTGCAGTGACAGGGGCGCGACCTGCCGTGAGTCCTCCGGGCTCCTCGGCCTGCTGCTTTTGGCCCCAAGTGACTGCAGCAAAGAAAAATAGTCTCTTTCACAGTCTAGAACTCAATTACTTGATCTTTCGGCATCTCTGTTACCACTGTAAAAGGAGGTGCGTCTGCCCCTAACATTGTATTAACTAACTGAGTGACTCAGTGTTTATTCTACCCATCCAAGTACTTTAGGTACTTCGGATAAAGAAACCACAGATCTACATATGAGGGTCCCCGAGAGCCGTGGGAATAACCTGTGGCTGAGGGCGTGAAGCCCGACCAGCAACACGCCCCCTCGACTGTTCTTGCCGGTGAGTTCCCACCTCCAGCTAAGCTTCCGCAACCACCCATGTTCCGCTTTCATCTCTTCTTGGTTCGCGGGGTTCCTGGAAAGCCGACCTGTAAACCGGCGTCTCAGGGGCGGCCCGAGAGTTCTGGCAGGGAGCGTCCAAGGGCCCGGGCTCCGACGCGCATCTGACCTCCCCTCCTCGCAGTTCCCTGGCGAAGGTGCCATCTGCTCACCTTTGACCTAAGAACACTCACTGTTCTCCTGACACGTGTATTAGAGAAACTTTGTCTAGTGAGCACTCCTAGCTCATGTACCTCAAATGTGCTAGTGGGATAAGAATTACATTATGATTGAATTGGAGACCCTGTCTTACCGCTTTAACATTTTATGTATGTCTGTCTGCCTTTGCAAAGCACACACTAAGGGAGGAACTGGTACCGAGACAAGCACGAAGAGATTAGTTCTTAAAATACGGTACGCTGGTTTAAACTCCTAACTTTAAATCGCAATTAAAACGACTGATTAAAAGACAGATGTACTTTTGATGCGTAAGTTTTCACCCAGTGTTTACGGGTTCCCGAGAACGGGATAGAGCAGCCAAATCAACGTCCTTAGAACACCGTCCTGCTGTTTTTCTTCAAGTCTGAGGGGGTCCTAAGCCTCCCCAGAGAGGCAGCTTAAGTGGGTACGCACCCCACTGAATGCAGGTCGCGGTAAGTCTGTCTGGATTAGGGCAGTTCTCCTGAGAGCCCAACTAACTCAGGAGACTACTTTAAATAGAGAAGTTCTAGGACAGCTGTGTGACATAATTAGCAACAAAACGGCTTAACACGAACTATAATTTTATTAGCTAGTAAAGTAAAAAACTAAAGACCTGTAATATGCTTTGCTGGGACACAGTTTTCACAAACTCTCCGAAGTGCTAAGTTCTCCCCTTACAACGATTTCAACCTCTTCGGTCAGTTTTCCATCAGGTGCCGTTATGTATCTATATATACGTAAAACTGCTTCTCCAAAAGGGACAAGTCCTTAAAAGTCTATTTGGTTACTAAATGTTTTTCAAGAACTTTGTTACTAGTAAAGAAACAAAGCTTATCATTCAGTGTCCCATACAAATAAAACACCATTTAAAGGCAAGTGAGATCATTTATGGTCAGTAACCAGAACTTCAACCACCAGCCACGGGGACCAGAGCACGGGGGCTGCGGGGGTCCGTGCAGCAATGCAGCTGCCAATGGAGAATCTCATTCACATTCTCAGTGCACAGACAAGATGATTTAGTTTCTTTGAGACGAGCATTTGCTCGGTATCATAATAAATAAACATGTCTGTATTAAGACACAGAGTGAGAGAGAAGCAATCCTGAAAACTGTGTCCTCGGCTCACAGACACAAATCTAATCAGCTGGGAAATACTCTGGTACTCTCTAGAAAAAAAAAATCACTGGAAATTCATTTCAAAGTTTAAGTAGGGTCTTTAAAACACCAGAAAAAAAAAGTGCAGAGAATTTTATTTCCAATTTTATTCTAAAATACAAACAAGACTCCTTAGAATTATGTCAATATAATTCCTTGCTGTATTTTGTCTCCAAATTCCTAATAGGAAAGTCATAAATGTTAGGCTTGAAACCACTGACAGTTGATCAAAAGTAACAGCACACAAAGAAAACTTCTCTTTTTTAAATTATCAGTCACATGAAACAAGCAATCACTAGTATAAGGGCTTCTGAATCACAAAGCTTATAAGCAGCCCTACAATTACCAAGATCTCAAAGGCCAAAAGACGACACCAGGAATTTTTTAGAAACAAAGATGTTTTGAAGCAGAACACTAAATTAAGTCATATGAAACAACTTGGACAAGATTCTGATACAAAAATTACAACTGAGATGAAGTTGAAAGAATATTTCAGTTCAGTCCAATTCAGCCACAGTGCTGCCTAAGGCCCATTTACTTTTGTAAATTATCTCAAAACTTTTAAGCAGTTAAATGATCTGAACGTCCTCTGTCAACTGACTATAAGAAACATTCTTACAGCAACACAATGTGACAGAGAAGAAAACCTGACCCCTGCACGATACGGGTGCGCCTTCTTTACCACGCACGGAGCACAGCCCGTGCACCCAGGCTCTTCCTGGAAATCTACAACTTCAGAAATGCTTTACTCAAATTAAAGGAGGCAGAAAAATGGCAATTTCTGAAAATGTGAGTAAAGAAAGCACACAACTTTTCAGATTTGAACATCAGTGCCTTGATCATACCTGCCTTAATTTTTATGTGAAAATTTAAGTGAAAGTCTCATACCCCAGCTGCTCAGTGTGTCTGCCACCCTTACAGAGCAGGTATTTTGAATTTTCAAAATATGTTTTTCTACAGAACAAGTATGGTGGACTTAAAAGTGTCTACTGGCAAAGAATGAGAACTGTCAGAATCTGTCCAAGTGCTTCAAGTATTAGAATGATGAGAGGTTTAACAGTTACAGGAGGGTGCAGGAAAACAATTTTTAGGTCCCCATTTCACTACTATAATTTACCTTAAATTAACAAAAAGCTGTGATTAATGAGGTGTGTTCACTGAGTAAGTAATTCTAACATGATCCCTGGGCGCACAGCCTGCCAAGCACAAGGCAGGGGCACGCGGCCGCAGGCCGGGGCGAGGTCACTTGAGCAGACCCTGCAGCATGGCCGTGGCATAGGTGGGCCTGGCCTGCCTGCTCTCGATGGCACGCTGCAGGTACTGGATGCCCCCGCAGCGCTCCCAGATTTCCTCAAACTGTCTCGGCAAAATCTCAGCACCACGCTTTCGAGTCAGGCCTGTCTCTTCAAGATTCAGCTCACACATCTCCATGTCATCCTTACCTGCACAGGTGGGACATCACAGAATTACTGTAACTCTTTTCAGAACCATTCTGGTAAACTTTGTTCCCCGAATCTCTCTCAATTCTCACAGATTTAAGAACTTCTAAAACTGTTTCCTTCCTTTAAGACTGAAATCTGCTCAATAAACCCACTAGAAACAGCAGAGATTTACCCTCCACCAAGGACCCTTTCAGAGGCGCTGACTCAGGCCTGTAGGCGAGTCACCGGGGCGCGGTGCACACGCTGCCCTCCGTTAAACCAGCCCGCATCAGCTGACGCCAGGGAAAAGGTTCTCGGGACACAATTACCTACGAGCTCTACACGGACATGATCAATCCGAGCGATCATGTTCTAAAATTTATCCTCAGTTAACTCGAAATGTTTAACTGCAAAATTCCATCCCTCAAGCCTGAAATTTAGTGAATTACGACATCATGCATTACGCGGCTTCACACAGAGGGCCTGTGGTCCCTTTTGCTTTCTACATCTGTTTCCTGGGGGTCATACACACCAGCCACGAGGAGGATGGGCGGCTTGTCGGGGTGAAGCTCCATCTGCCGGGCAATCCACGGCCCGTCGAAGTGCGCGTACCACCAGCCCTTCTTCTTGCTCTGCGGCTCTTTGTACTGGTCCGCGGGGCGGATGAACGGGATGCGGAAGAAGCGCTGGGGCCGGGGCCCGCCGACCTCCTGCGGCCGCGCCAGGGGCGCGGCAGCCACGCACTGCTGGGCTGTTGGACAGAAGGGGGGTCACACAGAGGCCGGGCCATGGACACGGCTTTCCTGATCCTGAGGGACCACGCTTACAAGAGGGGGTCCCAACAGTAAGGTTTCAAACATGCGAACATTAATTGCCCATAAATGAACACGACTCACAGTGTGATTCCTTAGAATTTTCTTTCCAAGTTATGTTTCTTGGCATTGCACACACACACACACCGACACACATGCCCCACACCATGTGAGCAATAACTAACCCTGAACAGGTTCCCCCAAATGCCTGTATCCTAACCTAAAATAAACTTACAGGGCAGGAAAGCAAACTTGTATCACCTGAATTGTTTTTCCTCCCAAGAACTCAAACGCAGGCCACAGAACGCCTTTTATGGGACTGTGATAAGACAACCTGTCTTCCCAAATCTGAAGGATTACAGATATTTTACTGTAATCACTTTAATCACACTTTACTCAAAAAGTGGAAGATACAAAATTTTTCCCTTTTGCCAACTGATTTTGGGACATTTTTAAATGTCCAAGATTAACAGATATTTTACTAATAATTGACAACTCCATGACAAAACAAAACAAAAATTGTAACAGTAAGCATGAACTTTCCCGCGGACATACTTACTTACCGCCATATCAGATTTCTCTTGGAATAGAACCCACTGAAATAAGTGAAAAGCATATGGGATTGATTCTCTGCGCCCAGACGGCTCCCGCCCCTCCCTGGGCCCTGGGCACTGGCCCCATCGGTGTTTTCTCCCTTGCTCAATTCTAATTACTAAGCAGTCAGGTTTTTATTTGATCTGCAAATACAAATATTTCTCTGCGGCAATGACTTTACATCCTCAGCAGCATAATTTTAGTAACTCTGTTTAATATGCTTCATACTCACGACTTTAAAAGTGGACCATTTACTGCAGCTCAATTAGGAATCTCACCGAACAGCTAAGTATGTCAATGAAAAATTACATAATATGTGTAAGTCAACAACAGCCACATGGCTTTTGTAAGAATTTCCAAATATGAAAGGATGAAAATACTCTTACTCCATTTTTTACACCGATAGCATAAAGCTCTACAGCAGCTGCGTTTATTTCTGTGCAAACCAGAGAAAGCAGAAAGCCGTGTGCCGAGCGGTGTAGCCCTAGAGGGAACGAGAGGCTCAGTGTTGTTAGTGACTAAAGCCGCAGCGCCTCCAGCATGTTAACAGACGAGCTTATTTTACCCTTTGTTTCTGTTACCCCAAAACATGACAGTTCACTTTTTCCATCTTAGGTTTTAAAAATTACCTACTTTGCACAAAACACACTAATCCAAAACCAAGACACTTTTAAAAATTAAAAAAAAACTTCCCTCCATCCTAAGCAGTGAATTTAAATTCAATATCCAATGGGTAGGAAACTATGATACTGACGTCCACCCATTACATTAACCTGCTTTCTTCTCTTAAAATAACAGGCTCCTCTAATTTAATACATTGGGTAAAATTAAGAAACCCAACACAAAGTCTCTGATAGCTTTTCCTACTAACGTGAGAATGGAAACTGTATTTGGGAAGCCTGAGAACAAACATCCACATGTGCAAAGATAGGGACGTGAAAAGCTTTGAAGCTTTTCTAAACAACTGTTTCTTTCCCATCCAATTGTGCTGTCTTCAAAAGTGTGAAGTGAGTTAAAGTGGAGCCCCATAAATTACTGGCAGCACTCAAAAAACCCAGGCCCAGTGAGTTGACAATAAGTATGGCATTATTTCCAAACCGGTACTGCTCGGCTGATTCTGGGTGAGGCGTGCTGTCTGCTCAGATGACTCAAAGCTGTTAAACGGTTGCAGATGGGCACCATGTACACAGTAAGCTCCTGGTCACCCTAGGGGCTGCCTTCTGAGCCTGCACACATTGTCATATATGCCAGACTCTTTGGATAGAAGTGCTAATACCAGCACCGAAAGTTAGTCTTTATTCTAAAAGATCAGCTGCTTTTAAAGAGAGTTTTGCTACAATAAGAATTGTGTGTAGACACAATTTAAAATGCTAGTTACTTTTTTTAAAGGAAGTAATTTGACAAAACATTTAAACTTAATTTTGTTCTGCATATATATTTTGGAGTGATCCAAAGCATCATCTAAAATATCTTGGTGTAGAAAAACCAACATTAGTGCACTGCAATTCCACTCTGAAATTTGCTTAAATTGTAGCAAAACAATGTTTAACGGAAGTTAGTACTTTTATAAAGTATTTTAAACCCATCTTCCAGTTAGCTCATGAGTTCCCCCCATTGACTTACGTGAATTGTTCAAAAATGGTGCAAAATCTGTGAACAAATATTTTATGTTGAGGAAAAGAAAGATATGGCAAAACTGTTAAATGAGCATTCTTCTGATTTATAAAGCCTTTCCATCAATTGAGGTGGCAACTATCAAGTAAACAGCCTGTTCACAGCCGAACACCAATCACCTACAAGTAGCTGTCTGCTTCTGATTTTTTTTAAAGCTATTTTGATTATGTTTTAGGAATTTCTACTTGATGAACAAGTAAGAGAGGACCAAAATTTTAAAACTTATTTCATTTGCAATTTTGCAACACAGTAGTATTCAAACAAAAATCCAACACAACGACTTAATAACAGACATTACCTTTGAAGCATTACTAGAATTTTTGTAGGAAAAAAAAAAGAGAATAACTTCTGAGTTCATCAAAAAAATTATATCCATTAGAGAAAAAGCACTGCCTTGTTGAAATACATTATTAAGTTTTAATTGCTGCAAACTAACTCTTAAACTCATGCCATTTTTATTTTAGGAACTATGAAATAAAATCACTCTCTGAGAACTGTGTTTTAAGAAAATATTATAAATCATTCCTGGATAATTTGCCACTTCCCCCAAATTATCTCTGAAAATCTTTGTGTGGTGAGCGTACACTCACCCGGTGTGGCACACGGGGACAGCGTCTGGGCTCCCAGCTTCTGACCACAAGACTTTGCCATGATTGGTCAATGTACCACTTGTCAAGCAATAATATCAAGTTATATTTCTGTTAATCACAGGTTGTCATCATTTTCTCAAATCAATGAACTCTAGTCCTTCTACGTATTAAACTACAAAGCAGTTCCTTTTAAAGGGATTACCTAAGTATTTAAAAACTTCCAAACTATCGAATTTTCTCAACTGAGCTGTGAAATATCTTGGTGCCCTTCACCAAGGAAAGAATTTTATATGAGAAAAAAATTAGAGAAAAGAAAAGTACCTGAAAATGGTCCATAAGCATGTTTGAATAAAATTCCTAAATGTGTTCATGTAACTGATGGGACTCTTGGGAAATGTTCTTAATCTACTCTTTTTTTCTTGCAAACTGTTTTACGAGTGGAAATAACATGAGAAGCGGCCCAGTCAGTCACAGACTATTTGCTCCTTTGGGACAACGCTGGGCGAGTAAGACATCAAAGTTTGGTTTAAAAAACATAAGAAATATTCATTAAAAACTTGTGTGCCAAATAGCACATTAATTTTTTTGTTTTATAAGAAGTGCAATCGTTCAGATGTACAAATTTTGAAATAAACATAATGAAAGCTATCAGCTAAGAGTCATGATTAAATTAACAAGAATAGCCTACTGCTACTCTTACAGAACAAAGGCAACTGTGGTTAGAAAATTGATGTGGACAGTGAACAGGTAAGGGACTCATCCTATCATCTGAAATCCCAGAAACAAAGTTTTAAACTGAAGAAGAGAGGTGGTCAGCAGAAGCACAACATTCGGAGGGCCTCCCCGTGGCGCTTCGTGGTTCCAAGCGACCTCCCACTGCCCTGCAGGAGCCTGGTACTCTCACTGACACCCCTGCGCAATAATCGCTAGCTCTAATCTCTTATTAGTAATATTTTCCTTGCTCATTTTTTGCCATAATAACTCAGAAACAGTAAAATTCCACCATTTAATTGGCTTCAATTGAACATTGCTTCCATTTGCTAAGAAGGGAGTCAGGCAAAAACATAATGAAGAGCTCACTGTCTGCGTCCACTCAGGTCAACACTGAACTACTCCGAGAGCGTTGGGAATATGCCCCTTTAAAAGGAGGGCATTTAGATACTCTGCCACCTTGACATACACCAGAATTAAGCTAATAAATTGTGCCAGTTTAAAAGTGACGAGTTGAACAAATGAAATTCCAATTATCATTTTTAATTATTGAAGTTACAACTCATGCATCCCAGATATTTGTTAATGTTAAAGCTAGTGTCTTTACTCTGGTAAGTTTACCCTGCTTTCTTCTCAGTTTCAAGTATACAACTTGTATAACAATGTAACAAAATTCATTTCTAGGATCTCAGTCAACAGAGCATATCTCTGTCTAGGCAAAACTGTGGTCTATGAGGAAGTACTATTTCTCTCATATTTTCACAGTATTATAAAAGAATGTTTGCAATAAACATTCTCTTTTTTTCATAGTAATCTTTATATTTCCACATAAAGTCTTTACATACGTATATGTGTATGTGGAAAAATATATATTTACAACATTATTGCACAACCTCTTTGGTAGAGACAAGAATATTCTTACCTCTGGAATTTATCTTAACAAGTTCAATACTTAACAAATGCGATTTTACAGACATATTTAATAGGAATAAAGCTATGAACTTAAGCCCTCATGGTCATACTAGGTTCAGTGGACACTAAGAGAACATTCACACTGGGCATTTCACCCAGGGTCTTATGCACAGTCACATGTTTCTCCATAGACACACTCCGGGACATCCAAAAGTACAGATTTGTTTTTACCATAATCAGTAACAGACTTCGGAGCACGCTGTTCAGTTTCAGTATTTCGCTTCTTGTTCTTAGATTTCCAAGCATGATACACTTTTAGTCTCCTATGAAATTCTTCTCTGCAAGCTGCCAGGAGCTCAATATCTATCGATTACATAGAAAGAGCCCCCACCCCCAACAAAAAGGAATTAGCATCTTAATTTAAGCTGTTCAACATAATTTATTGTGGCATAAACATATATACATATGTAAATTTTTCATTTTTAATTATATAAAATCAATACATGAGAATTTTATGGTAATACTACCCTCTATACTCACAGAGCATTTTCTTATGCATTATTACTCTTATATTATTTGCTCCACACAAGAACACTGAACTTCATAGGTCTTTTAAAAAGGACTTGAATCAGACATGTTAAGTCATTTTTCCAAGATCACGGACCAGGACAATAGCATAAAAAGTCACTGTGCTCAAATGCAAGTCGGATTTACATGCAGTGCATGTTTTATGTCTGTAATTATGCAGACAAACTCAGTGAGGAGGGAAAGGACATGGTGAGGTGTCTGCCATTACGACACTTTAGTTCTAATCAGTGTCCTGAATTCAAACACTATGATTTAGACAAGCATATAACTATATATGGGATCCTCTGGATATATTTTATTCTGTTCTGCTGGAAGAAAAATAGCTATAAAAAGAAAGGGTTTCACTGCCATTTTTTACTTTGTATTCATCACAAGAAGATTCTGATATTTAGCTATTATGAATGACATGAGAAGGGTCAGTCATTAATATAGCCCAAAACATAATTTCTCTGTTTTTCCTCACTGACCAAGGCAAGACATAGGCAGAATGAATTTAACTTAATAAGTATGTCTTTCTTTTAGCTTTGCCAGTAAACTAGGTCTTCATTTCAAGTTGAGAGTAACAGAGAATGGCTTAAACTCATTTAATATTCCCCAACCCCCAAAAGAGTCCCGCTGCGATCTAGGTACTCCCTCCTGCCCTTAGCACACCCGGGCCTTCCCGTCTCCCATCCTCTGGACACTCACCGCAGGAGGTGTTGATGGTGTCGCGGAGTTCTGCGTATTTCCATTTGCTCAGATCCTGCTTCTTGGCACCAGCAGCTGCCTTGGTGGCTTGAACAGCAGGACCTCTGTAATTAGTAGACATTTTTGCATACATAAACTGGAAATATGAATGCAATGTGACTAAAGAGGCAAGAAAATGAGTATTAGTTTGAGAAACAGAAATAGCTATTGAGAGAAGAGTAAGTTTCATATCTTTGACAGATGAGATGAAAGCCATGCTCTAAAGGATGCCCAAGTCAATTGAAATTTTCCATTGTGCCATTTAATAATCAGAACCTATGAGTCTAATATTCTGGTACCAGGAACTTGCCCCAGATTTCAGTTTAAATATTCTAACCGATGGATATATGAGCATCAAAAAAAAGTCTCACTGCAATCTAGGTACTTCCTCCTGACCTTATTACACCCGGGCCTTCCCCTCTCTCATCCTCTCCGACACTCACCGCAGGAGGTGAACATCAAAAGTTAAAAAATACATATATATCCTCAAAATCAGAAAAGAATTCCTCAACATACTCGAAAGATCATTAGAAGCACATTAAGGGTTTGTTTGTGAGCCAGCGGGCCACACAGTACGATCACCTGCCGATCACGGGCAGCTAGAGGTGGCGCAGCCCCAGCCTGCCTGCTGGCTCAGAACCCCCCTGGGCTCCGGATGTTCACAGGGTCCACAGGCAGCCAGGCCGCACCCGACAGCCCCGCTCAGCAGAGCTGAAGGGGCCGCTGGACTCCTGGGATGTCTGAGCTCCACCGTTACAGACACAGAGAAAAGTCTGCCAAGCAGATAAAACCAGGCCACACCCTTAGGAGTTACACGACAACCAGTGACTTGGAGGAAGAAGCTTCGGCTCATGAGGCGGAGAGCAGACCTCCAACGGCACACATTCTGTGTCGCCCCATTAGGAGGAACATTTAAATAAAGAAAGAGGAAAGAAAGAAAAAGTAATATACAATATAGAGAATATAAAGAATAATTTTTTAAATAAAATGGGATGAATTCAGCTTTTTCACAGCAGTGCTACTCAGAGCTTAAGACTTGTTTCTATACACATAATTTGAAGCAATTTTCAGAAAATATGAGAATAACTGTTTCTCTAATGAACAGTAAGACTACACTTGCCACAGAGACTCACAATAAGCTGTAAGTGAACTTTTTAAGCTCAAGTAACAAAGGAAGAATTTAAACATCACATCGCACATGAAAAGACAGCACAGGTATGAAAGGACCGGAACCCCGCTTCTCAGGCGCCCCAGGCCTTTGCGGCTCGCTGCTCGGAAAACAGCTGCAAGGAGGGACAATCAGGGCACAGTGTCTGCGAATGAGCTCGTATTTTCTCATCATCTTACATTTTGAAAGATAAAAGCAATTTTGGCAAACAGTCAAGACATAGATACTTAATGCGATAGATGTTATTGAAAAATTATGTTTGAAACATGTATCCTTCTTCCTGCAATAAAGGACTTTATTCCTTTGATATTAAGCTTAACAACGAAATAAAGTACTTTTTCCTCTTTGAAAGTCCTATTTATGCTCTCATTTTAGAGAATAAAAAATAGCATGCCTCACTCTACATACTTAAAAACTGTCAGACATGATGACTGTTAGTCACATATAAACCTGGCTAAAGAACCGTATGTGGCCATTTAGTCCTTCATTTTTATGGCTAAAATCAGTTTTAGATATATTGTAGAATCTATGCTTTTCATAAGCTGTTTTTCTCTTGATTGGTTTTTTTCAGTGAGGCTGTTTTCTCAATTGCTTTGCTCAAGAAGAGCCAGCTGTGTGTCAGCAGGGCCTCCATTACCCTCCACAATAAATTATGCTTTAATTTTTATTCAACTATTCTTGTTTTCTTTTCTATATCCCTAAACCACCATTTAATAAACTAACAAAAAAACTCTCTTTTTCTAAGTTCTTCTAGGAGGTCATTCTAGGAAAGCAGCTAAAAATTATTATGGGGTTTTTCTGGTGTTTTCTTTTGAAATAGTGAATTTACATGATATACAGTTTTCTGTATTGCCAAAATATACATGAGGTATTGATATACAATAAGGTATGTTTTGATACTTTAAAAAATAACACTGAATTCAAATAACTATTGCTTATAGTTTACTATTCCTAACCTTTGATTCATATTACCTCAATATGAATATACCTGCTAAAAACATTCAGCAGGCTAAGAAGTACACAACTGAAATGCATTTAAATGATTTCCCCCCATCACTGGAGTTATTAAAACAGTAAAGGTGTAATTTCCTGATTACTTAGATTATAAAGACAATCATATAAACAATACAGTAGGGTAGCAGCAAAATTAAAATTCACATATTTAAAATCAAAAGTCAACACTTTTACTTAACTCTGTGACTTCGAATTGACAGCTACAGTGTCACCGATCCATACCCACTCTCACAGGCACTGGACCAGACCCCGCTGGGAAATCCAATCTTTGGTGGCTCAGCCATCACATCAGTGGCTTTTACCTGTGAGCCACGGTGTACAGGCCCCCCGGGGCCACTCTCTCCCTGTGCTTCCCCTTCAACTCGGGGCTGAATCCCAGCCAGGGCGCAGCACCCCCCAAGGGGAGTTCCAGACTATTTAATTTTGCCAGGCTGAGAGGGAGGGTCCCCTACTGAGAGTGGGTGGGGGCCGGTGAACAAGGAACAGTCCCATTCGAAATGCCAATGGGGTCCCCATGGAGAAAAACCAATTCAGAGGAACGTTTTCTTCTCTTTCTCCATGTTAGGGTGGGATGAGGGTCAAGTGTCATTTCTTATACAGAAAATTTATATGGAAAGAGTACATTATTCACATGACAGGTTCTGGTCCAAATAATGAAAAGTGATTTTAAAATACGATTTTGAGGTGACAAGTACTTGTTTACCCAAATCACACCGTACTAACCTACTCACAAAGTCTGCCATTTCTTTCGCCATTTGTTCCCTATAAGATCGATAACACAACATAATTATATAAAGACAACTGTATACATTACTTAAAAGGTCTATAATTATAGTAAAATGTTCTGTTTTCAATAGGATTATAGATTTACTGACCATTCGCTATTATTTTACTTTGTGAAAATCTGTATGTTTCAACATATAGAGCCATAAAATACAAAACTTTTGTTGAAATCCAGTTAAAGTTATTTGAACTCCATTTCTGCAATAGGAACCTTCAGATAAGATCTCATGAGAGATATGCTCCTGGTGTATTTTTTTATGTATAAAATATAAAACAGCATATTCTAAATGCATACAGGAAACTTGGCAGGACCCAGATTCTATACAAAGATTTTCATACTGGGGTTGCTTAGTAAATATTAATCAGACAAGTGATAAGCCAAGTTGATTTATTTGACACTGTCAGAGTTTAAATACAAGTCTGATGTATTCAAAGCTCTAGAATTCTAAGGCATGCTTTAAAAACAAAAGAATTCAAACGCATCCAGCACTTGTTAAACTAAAGACCAGAAGTGTTCTGACCTAGAAGGACCAACATGTCCCAAAGGTAGAACTGTACTGTTATTACTCAGGAAAGTGTAACTTTTCTATTTTTTTATTCTGTGATATGGAACAGGTAGTCATTGTGTTCAAGCAATGCTTTGTTAACTTGACTTTCACATGTGAAACTTTTTTGGGGCATAATTTTAATATGGATGCAATTTTTCTAGGAATGAAACTTTTGCATAACGAATGAGAGACTGTGCTTAACTCTGTTGAGAATTTTGCAAGGATCGCTCACAATTTCATGGCGGTTAACTGAGAATATCCTTGTATTGACTTGCACTGGCAGCTATCAGTCACAGTGATTCCAGGTTTAAGTAAAAATATCTGATACCTGACCGTTCTCCTGTAGTTTTAAGATAAATATTAAATATTAAAATAAATATTCACACTAATATATTAATAAATATCTTCATATTAAAATAAATACTGTTTTACTGTAATTTACTGTCCTTTTATGTTTTTTCATATATTGTTAGGAGAGAATTATTTATGTAGGTTGCATCTTTATAGAAACATTTGTTATTGGCATTGGGTCTGACAGTTGAGAACCATCACTATGAAGGTTATTGCTGGAGTCCTAAAAGCTGTTAAAATTCAGTTGTTATATATACTCCAAAATTTTATATACATGGTATATATTTGCAAAAACATATTTTATACATACAACATACTTTTTACATACATCACAAATGTTATTTAGATTCTCTCTGTGGGGAGATTTTTGTTATGCTATCCCCAAAATTAGTATTACATACATAACTTCAGGTTAGGAGCTATTTTAGATATTAGTAGAGTGAACTATCATATATACTGAAAACTAAGCTTTCTGCTGTGACTCAAATACCGTCAATATTTTATTTACTTTTATTTATATCTCCACATATGATTCTATAAAGACATAAGAAAGGAATACTTAAAGACACATAAAACAAAATGGGTGTTCAAGTCTAAACACGGATAAAAAACACAAAGAAAACCAAATCATAAACTAGTATGGTTGAGCACCACACAGGAGCATTCATTTTCCCAGGCAAAAGAAAATAACATAAAATTTATTTCAATGAAGAAACTATTTCTCTTAAAAAGTACCTATGAACTATTAAAAAGAAGTTTATGCAACTAAATCAAGTTTTAAGAAGGGAAATGACATACGGTGTCATTCTGGGTCTTGATCCTTCAATTCTGTGAAAATAATATATTTTAGTATCATAAGCAATACTGAATGGTGAAAATCTGAAATGTGCCAAATTTGTATTTCAATAACTTTATTGATTTGAAAAATTCCATTATCTTCATTTGATCTATGTATCAGATCACTCAGAATTTTCATGTTAAGATCTTCATTAAAAATTACGATAAATGTATAAATTAAAGGCATTCAATGAAAATGAAAGAGCAATATATTACATTTAGGTGAGAAAATTCATACACTGTGAAGTTTGCTGATTTGTTTTAATAGAATCTGGATATTATTTCATAATTATAGGTAATTTGAAATCATCACTTTGCATCCAGATCAATGTGGAATTGATTGAGATCATATTTCAAAACGTATTGTATATGCAGAAAACAACTCTTACTTAGAAGTTACTGGATAGGAATCCAAGCTGGAAAAGTAACTTGAAATTGTTTAATGCAGCAGAATCCATGTACCTACATTGATTAACCCGACAACAACATGGCCATGCTGCACAGGAGGGGCAGGGCCACCCAGGGGGTTCTACTCACTTACCGGCTAGAGAGGCCAGTGCTGAGAAAAGTGAAAGCGGTACCTAAAAATGTTTATTATAGCCCACAGAGTAAGATAAAATTATCAAATATGGAAAATCTGTATAGATCACCCACAGTGAAGTGCTAAGCTCATCATACAGACAATGAAATAACCAGGACGGTCAGAAGGGGAGGCGCTCATGGGGCCCGAGGGTCAGGAAGGGCTTCCTGGAAAAGGGATTGAAGGGACATCCCGGGGGGCAGGGGGGACACACCGGGGCTGTCCCACAGGAGAACTAAACTGCACCCCTGCCTTTCAAGTCAGAACTGCTTGAATACCTCCTGGTGACTGTAGTGGTCCCATTACCTAGTTAATTCTGCTTAACTTAAATTACAGCTGACTTGTCACTTCTGCTCAAGGGCCTAGATGGCCCTCTCTCTGAGACCACTCGCGGTGGCGGACGTGCACTGTCCTGAAGACAGGGAGGAGACCGCACAGGAGCCTGCATTTGCAAGGCTTAGACATAAAGCTTGACCAGGAACACCAATAAGGAGTCCCTCAGGAACAAACTCCAGCCATAGTAAGCCGGCGCCGTCAGCGGCAGCCTCCCGCACTCCTAGTGGGGGGCAGCCACTACAAGAGCGTGTTTGTGGGGGACCTGGCCTGGCGTCCGTCAGTCAGTCACACACACAGGCTCCCACCACTCCTGCCAGACACAGGCAGAAGCAGGGCGCAGCAGCCAGGGCGGAGCCGGCGGCTACAAACGCTGCCACCAGGAGAAAGTATTTTAACCGTGGTGAATGTTAGCAGCAAGTCCACATACTGGACCCAGACGGGCTAGTCACTGTAGCGCCGTGTGTTTGACAGGCCTATTCATGACTTAAATATTATAGGCAGCTGACCCTTGAAGAACACGGGGGCTGGGGTACTGAGCCCTCATGCAGTCAAAAATCAATGAGTAACTTTGGACTCCCCAAAATCTTTACTAATAGCCTAGTGTTGAGCAGAAACCTTACTGATAATAGTCGTTTAACACATATTTTGTATATTCTATGTATTATATATTTTATTCTTATAGTAAAATAAGAGAGAGAAAAGAAAATTGTTGAAATAGAAATTGTTTTTTCAAATTGCCCAAAATCTCCAAAAAAATCTTTCAGTATATTTTCTGAAACAAATCCACATGGAAGTGGACCCACACAGTCAACGTTCACCGGTACTTTCGCACCATTCAGACCCCAGGGCTCCACAACATATACGGTCACTTCGGAGAAAAAGTGTGAGGTAACAACAGGCCTTTTCCTTTCCTATCTTTGTTTTCGGCTAATAAAATCTATTCACTGCCTTGCCATTTGAACCAAGTTTTCTCCTTTCTAAAGCAAATAGCAACATCTAGTGGCTGTGTTTTATTTTGTCATAAATGGTGCTCTGACATTCTGAAAAGCATGGTTATATACCTATGTGCCTCTCAACATGTATACCTACATGCAAAGGAACCCCACAAACTAGTTTTGCCTTGTGTTTACAAATAAATAATCAAAATAACTGTTTCTACATTTAAAATTTTTTAAATATGGATCTTATATTAAAACCTTGCAACAACTTTTAGTAAGAATTTCCACACTATACTCCTCCCCACTCCAGTGAAACACGTAGTTAGAGATCATTCAGAAATCTGAGGAGCCAAAATATTTCAATGTGTTTGATCTTTCTGTTTGGAAAGGGAAATCTACTCTGAAACATGGGGTTGTGTGTGTATGTAAAATTTCTCCTCATTCCAAGTGTTAGGATGTATGATACACTGAAATGAAAATTTTACATTAGGAAAATGATAAATCCCAGCCAAAGACATTACACTGGCCTGGAATATGCTCGCTCACCACTGTGCCAGGGCAGATGTGCTTCCTCCAGTGTCCTTCGCTTCAGTAAGCTTTGCAGATATTATGTTTTTAATAAATTTAAGGTCTGTGGCAACTCTGCACCAAGCGAGCACGTAGGTGTGACATTTCCGACAGCACGTCACTCGAGCCTCTGCAGCGACCCTCAGAGCTGTTCGGGCCTCTCACCATCGCACCTGCCGTGGCATCTGCGAGTGACCGGGGTTCACTGAGAGCACTGGTGTCGGTCAGCATGTTCAGCATTTGTGCTGTTCTTCAAAACGTAGTATTATTGCACACTTAGGCCACAGTGTGTGTGAGCATAACTTTTTTATGCACTGGGAAACCAGACCTTCCTCATTTGCCTCACTCTGGACCCACACCCGCAGTAACTCTGAGGTGTGCCTGTATTTAATGGCAGGTATTTAGAAATGTGATACGATACTTTAAATGATACTCTGCCAACTTCAGAGTAAAAGTTGAGGTGTTTTCTTAGAGTACTCATGAACTGAATAGCAGTTTTATCTTTCAGTAGTTTAACGATTCGATGAAATCAGCTGTTTCATCCACTTGGGTGTAATAGTTGATACAGATGATTTTAAAATAGTTTTACTTTAAATGTGATTTTCTCCCTTTCCCTTCACACTGGAAGGAGCGGAGAGGTAAGGCAAGCGGGGCGCACATGCACGCGTGCACACACACACACACGCGCGCACACACACACGCGCGCGCGCACACCCTCCGTACCTCCGCAGCGCCGGGTCGGCCTGCGCCTCGTCGCTGATGAGCTCCGCCTCGCTCTGGGCGATCCGCAGGGCCAGCTCCCGGTCCCGGCGCTCCTGCTCCAGAACCGCCTGCTGCTGGGCCTCCTCCTCCCGCTGCCGGGCCAGCTGCTCCTCCACCTCGGCCTGGAGGGACAGAGGCGAGTCACCGGGGTCCCCCCCACTCGACCGTCCCCACCGCTGTGGAAGGCGGTCCCTGCGAGTTCCTTCCTAGGAGCATGCACTGTGTGAGCAGCAAGCCCTGCCGTCCCTCTCCCCCGACCGCGGGGGAGGGCGGAGGGGGCGCGCTGGCATCGGCCTGTCACCGCGGCAGCACGGCTGTCGCTGGGCGTCCTGGGCGCCAGGGGAGCACCGACCGCGAGTCAGGAGCCGCGGGTTCGGCCCTGGCTGCGCCCGGGTAAACCATGAAAGCCACGAACCCGGTGGATTATTCTCAGACACAGACTTTAAACAACAGGGGGAGGGAGAATATCTTTATCCTAACCTGTTGCTACCGGCCCTACTAAATTATAAAATAGTGTTTTAAAGCATCACGATTGTTTTAAGTGAATGTGCATCTGGCTTTCCCCTCAGTGTAGTAACAGTGGCGAACTACCATTTATGCAGCTGGGCCCTGTTCTGGACGCTTGGACACGCGGTGACCCTTCAGGGCGGCTGCTGCGTCCCCACCCCACCGGCGGGCGGGCCGCGCTCTGGGTCTCAGCTCACTTTCCTGGCGCCAAGGTCTCCCCGTAACCACTGCAGAAGCCGCCTTCCGTCTGAGATAAGGCGGGGGCAACCTGCCCAGCAAATCAGGGTCGTGTTTGCGCCTCTTTTGTTTCATGAGCCGGTAATTCCATTCCGATAGGGATTCAGCCGCTGCCCCGTGAGCACAGACCTGAATGCGCTTCTCCTCATCCTCCCTTTTCTTTCTCTCTTCTTCTTCTTGTTTTCTCTTTGCTTCCATCTCAAGTTTCCTAACAAAAAACAGAAAACTCTTCAAAAAATCTAATAGAAAATAAGGAATTTAACCATTTAATATACAATTACAGAAAGGGGACTCAAGTCAACCTCCTGGCCATACCACCTATCACCTCGACCCTACTGACAGTAATTCTTCTAAAACACATAAATACCGTATGTCCTGTACTTCGACATTTCTGGGTCACCTTGGTCATAAAGCGTCACTGTAAGGCCCTGCTTCCAGGTCAGGCCTCCTCCTCCCAGGAGCTCTCACACCCTGTCCGCCCTGCTTTGGTGCTCGTCCAAAACGTCATCAGTCTTAAACTACACAAAAGCCTTTTTTCTGGCTTATAAAATTTAATACCCAAGTCCTGCCTTAAAAAGGAAGTCAAGAAATCCTCAGGCGTCAGAGTCTAACCAAAATTCAGATTCTAAGGTCATTTTATGCTATTGAGTCTGCTTTCTCCATTTTCAAACTTTGACTAAAATTAGTCTTTTAAAACAGAATGACTCTAAAAACAAGAATGCTCCTAAGCCGCCGGCAGCGCCGGGCCCCCACTGCCCCGCCAGCGCCGGGAGCCTTACAGCCGCCGCGCCTCGCCTTCCTCCCTCCGGCGCTGCTCGTCCTCCTCGCGTCGCCGCCTCTCCTTCTCCATCTCCTCCTGGATGCGCCTCAGCCTTTCCGCCTCCTCCTCCTGCTGCCTCTTCTTCTGCAAGGCGCCCAGGAGCTCCTCGGAGCTCCTGACCAGTGCGTCGTATTCCTTCCGGATTTGCTCCCTTGTCATCAGAGTGGACTTGAAAAGCAAATGAGTAAAAACGTACGTACAAAGTCCTCTCTGCTGCTGTACTACTGAATTGTCCATTTTTAAGAGATTAAGATGATAACTTTTAATGTGCTTTGACCCCCAAGCAGAAAAAAACAATAGGCACATACACAGCAATGACTACAGAAGTTGTTAAGCAACAAGCTCATCATCTCTGATTTAATAGTTGCATATTGAATAATACCCAAAAAATTATAATATTTCTGCACACAAATATCTGAGTCTTTTTTATCGATTACGTAATCAAAAATCTAATGGTGTCATGTAGACAAAGTAGCACACTGGAGTCAGAATAATATTTAAGACATGGTTAGTTAATTTTGCTAGCTTACTATTCTCTAATAATAATGTTCAAATAGTACCTAAGGAATATTTAGGAAATTATTAATTATATCCTAAATTATTGGATGATTTTTCTAAGTGAGCCTTCGAAAAAAGTATCTGGGTTGATCATAATTGATAATACCACATAAACAAGGATAGTCCTTGATGTATTCGTAAAATCAGCTACATTTATCAAAAGCATTTTCATTCTTCTCTTGATCTTTCTGTGTTCTACCTCCAACATTTACCACTGTCTACGTAAAACAACTGCAAAAAATAAGATAAAAAGCTTGCTTTAAGTTACATTCTACATAATTACACTGACTTAAGAAACTAGGTGAGAAAAACATTAATACCCTAAAACATAACAGAAAAAGCTATGAATGGACAGATGGAATATAATTAACAAACAAGCTTATGGAAGAATGTTTCAATCCCACAGGTAATCAAATAAATGAAAATCAAGATAAAATAGAGGCCTCATTTTTTTCCCTACCAAAGTTAGGGGAAAATTTATTGCTATTCTCCTAATGGTGAAGTACTTTGTGTTACACATTATCTGAAGATAATCAAATAATAATGACAAGGCATATAACATATTTATAGGGATACAAAACTAAATGTACATTATGACAGAACTATGCAAAGTTATGTGCGTATAAAAAAAGACTGAAGGGGAATATGCAACAGTATATTAGCTGAATGTGCCAGTGTGGGGTTTAAGGGAGTTTTGGTGATTTTCTCCAAATTTTCAATAATACTACATTTCTTTGAAAATTGGTTTCTGAAAGTAGAAAGACAGGAAGCAAAATAACTTCCATTAATCCTCTCTCATGATAATGATATTGTAAAAGCTTACCAACAGAGTACAGTATTTTAGTTATTATTTTTTGGGGGGGTATCTTTCTAGCAACAGGTGAAATTGCATAAAAACTGTTCTCTTTTTAACTATTTTGACATGAAAACTTTTAAACATAGAATAATATAATGAGCATCACTTGACATCAAGACTTAACATATGTAACATTTTGTATCTTTAAAGAAATAAGGACATTTTTCTATACAATTTCAATACCAATAGCAAAAAAATATTAAATTCTTTTTTAAAAAGTCAGAGTCATCTGGGTTAAAATTACATACCTTAATTTTGGCCATTAAAGCATCAATAGAACTTTCAAGGTTCTTGACCTGTTTGTTCATCTCTGGTTTTCCATCTTTCAGTGCACTTACAACTTCATTAAATTTATCAAGTCGTCTCTTCAGTGTTCCCACCTTAACCAGGCCATCAATGCTGCAAAGACAATGTTTCATCAGGGTTTCATTTCACCATTTAATGCTATAAATAGATTTTTCATTTTAATAAAATGCTAACCATATTGCTGAACAAGACAGTCCATCTCTGTTTTCATATTATCCAGTATTCTCTTTGTTAGGTCTCTTCATAAGAGTTAAAAAGAAATAATCAAAGACAGGTGTGAATGACATTAATGCCTGTCAAGTGGATTTAAACCCTCTTTACTTACACTGAAAAAATCTGAGAATTAAAACTATACAAAAACTTTAAGGAGTTATATAATCTCTTTGCCAAGGTTTAAGAATTAAGTTAATCAGACCTTCAAGTTTAAAAAGTCTAAATTAGACTCAAATAAGAAATAAAGACTAAATTTGCAGTAAGATAATGTAATCCCCACAGATCATCTTGAAAATTATGGTCAAAACACTGATGAGATATTTTTAAAAACAATGTCAATTTGATACTTATCAAGAAACTCAACTCACTAATTGTAAGGTTGGAGGCACCGGAGGGAGGGGTGAGCATGTTCCGGTGGGGGAAGAGGGCAGTGAAGGCGGAAGGGGGTGGGGTGCAGCCACCGGAAGAGGAGAGGAGCAGGAAGACGGCATGGGTGAGAATGTAGGACTTTAGGATGGCAGCAACACGGGGGAGGACAAAGAACTTAAAGATGGTGGCGGAAGGGGTGGGGGTAGCGAGCTGAGGGAGGCGGGAGACCGAGGGCCTCCGGCGGATCTGAAAGGGAAGAAGGGCCGGGCAGAGTAGGAGGCTGACAGTCCTTGACTGGAGATTGGGCCAGGGGAACCTGGGTTGTGGAACATTCAATATAAAGGTCTGGCGGGAGCGCAAAGCCCGAAAAGCCTGCACACGCGGGATTTCACCCCACTCTCCGCTCCGGTGGCAATAATCAGTCAAGTCAGTGAGGAGGCCAAAATCGAAAGTTCCCTCAGGGGGCCAGTGAGATTGGTTGTCCAAGGGATACTGAGGCCCGGCCTGAGAGCAAAGGAAGGCCAGCTTCCGTTTGCAAACTTCCCGGGACAAATAGAGCAGCCAGATTAGAAATGAGACCCCGCAGCGGGGTCTGAGCCTCTGCTTTCGAGGGCTGGTTCCCCATGTCTGTGCCACTCCCCAACTGATCCCGCTGAGAGGAGCGCCCAGCGTCCCAAGCGCGCCAAGTCAGGGGAGACGGCCTGGGAGCCTGGGTGAGGGACGTCTCCCCCACTGCAGGGCCAGGGGTGGGTATCCTGGATGCCCGCAGCAGATGGGCCGGATGCCCAGGGGCCGGATGCCCCAACCTGGACGCAGCTACAATTTCGGACGGACCAAGTGAAATGGAGTTAGGAAGGGAAGCAGACCGGGGGAAACTGAGGGACTCACCGGAAAATAGTCTATGCAGCGGAGAGCAGGCTGAGGTCCCGTGTCGGGGAAGGAGGGGGCAGGGCCACCGATGGCTGGTCGGGGCCCCGCGCTCAAGCCCCTTCCCGGTTTCAGCACCAAATGTAAGATAAATTCTAACCGAAATAAGCAGGCGACGAGCGGCAACAAAGGGCCAGGCGGTTTATTCGAGTGCAATCCCGGGCGGGGTTCACCAGTCTGCACCATGACAGGCTGGAGAGGTCATGCTCAGCAGGGCAGGCAGCGAGTTTTCAAAGAAGGCAGGGGGAGGCAGGGCCTAGGTTTACAGGGCGCGAGGATTGGCCAGCCAAAGGCACATTTTTCAGGTTGGGAGGGGGCCGCAGCCGGGGACTTCGGCACGTCGCCAGTGTCTCACCCCTCCCTCCGGTGCCTCCAGCCTTACACTAATGGTCAGAATAAAAGAGCTGTTTTCAATCATTTATTTCAATCTTTTATAGTGCTTACATTTTTGTAAGCTATTTCAGATCTTTTTATAGAATGAGCAAGTAATGAATTAATGAATTTACTAATTTCAAATAATATAAATAACAGACTAATACATCTTTTTACAAAAAACATGTGAAAAGAGAAACTCTGAGTCTCCGAACTGCTTTTCATTATGGCTTTATAGCCGTTTTGTATTAGGACAAGAGGGTTTGTCCTCATCTTACCGAGGTTTGTGTCTCCTTTTGCAAAGCCACATTCGAATAGTTTTTTGCATTTTAATGCAGGCTTCAGCTCGATACATTATTTTGTTTTTCACTATGTAAAACAGGAAAATATAATGAAGGAAAATTATTTGGTTTAAATGAGACATATAACATTTTTAAAAATCACTCATTTCCACAAAGCAATTCTCAAGAAACACGAAATACTGATGAACATATTGTACCAGACATTAAAATGAAGAAATTGAACATTTCTTTCATTCCTGTACTTGTAAAATATAAAGCACATCATGTATATGGCTGGGTTTACATTTTAAATGTATTATTTCCTTATTTATGCTACACTATTCCTTACCAAACTATCATAAGCAACCCTGGTCTAGAAATGTTAGCAAGTTATGTCCTTTAAAAAAGGATTCACCTATCAAATGAATTTAGGAAAAGCTACATACCATACTTCCTTTTGGAGATTCACAATGAACACACTGTGTGAGGCCTCTAAGAACCCTAGAGAAATCTGTTTAACTTCATTTTACAGTAAAGATCATTTTAATATACTGTGTTTTCCATCATAATGCAATGTATAAAGCTGAAAGCATTTAACCTATAGTAACAAATATGTTTATATTTACTTGGAAAATGAAGGAAAAAAGAGCTTGTTACTTTTTTTCTGTATTATGGTTTTCTTTCTGCCTACGCTCACATGGTCTAACAAAAGACCTCACTAATTATCTCTGTTTACATGTTCCTTTTTATCAACTCAAAAGATTTTCATTACTCTATATTAAGGAACAATTTATTGAATTCCAGGTACCCTGGAGATCAAGGAGGCAGGGGAAATTATAAGTTTCATCAAGTCCCGGGCAATAGCTCCCTACAACTACAGGTTTGCCATAAGTCTCAGGTTACGCCAAAACATTCCACCCGCATTTGTTTGGGTCAGAGTTAAGTAGCTGCCGCCACCAGGCAGAAACACCCGATGAAGGAGCTCAGTCCAGTGTGTCAGAGAAGAGGGTCTAAGAGAAAAAGGGCAGGAGCGCCTGAGAAGGGAAGTGAACACCCCACTTTTCCAGGTCCTCAAAGACACTTAAGACTTTAGACTGGCCTTTATGCAAGGGGAGCCTTAGTACACGGTGTGAACCCAGAGAGAGGACTCTGGGGAAGGACGTGCGGGGTCTGGAGGAGGGCCAGGTGGTCGGCCGGCTGCCGAGGCCACAGGGGCGGGGCGCAGAGGCCATGACCCCCACAAAGGCTCTGGCATGTGTGCTGGCGATGCCGTGTGGTGGAGGCGAACCATCAAGCCTGAGAGGGTGCGGGTGGGGAGGGACCAGGATAGTGAGCTCCGTTTGTCTAGGACGTGAGGAAATTAATTAACCTCTAATACAATCAGATGAAGGCAGCCAGAGTCATACAAAAATAAATTTTAAAAGAGGATCCACGCACACACACGTATCACGTGCTGCCGAGGCGGCATGACAGTCCGTGCTGTCCAGCACTCACCCCCGAGACAAACCGATCCACCCCCTGAGCAACCGCACACCGCGGAGCAGGACACCTACACTTGACGGCGGAGAGGGCGCACCACTGCACTTTCTTCCAGCGGCTGCAGACCAGCCAGTGGCTGACTCTCTTCACCAGCTCTGCCAAGTGGTCAGGGTCCGACTTCATGATCTGATCGAACTCTGCAAACTAGGAGATGAAGTAATTTGTATCAGTGTCAAAAGATAAATGCACTTAAACACACAGAGAGAGAAAACAAACTGGGATCAAATCCACAGTCTAACTTCCTGGGAAGAGCCGCAAACTGACCCCGTCTCAGTGGGGGCGCAGCGAGCCCATCACCCGGGCTGCACTCCGCGGCCTTCTCCTTTCAGGGTCTTTCCCGGAGGGCAAGGAGGCACTCTTAGTAGTTAGCACATTCAGTAACAAAAGCAGAAAAAAAATCCTAAATGACAATTACAGACAGCTGGAGAAAAGGTTTCATTGAGAAAGGAAAAAAGGGCTGATCTCTCTCTGAACTGGCTCATTTGCATCTCAGGTGTCTGAACAGAGCTCCTGACAAGGGAAGGTCAGGCCCCACCACCACTATTCTCTCTCTCCCACCCCCACCCCATTTGGTCGGAGATAAGAAATTGCTGCCAAGAGACAAGAGAGTGCAAATGGAGCAGCTACTGCATCTTTAAGGAATAAAATGCGTTATTTCCACAGTTTAACACAAAATTACTTGATTGCTATCCTTTACCAAATATCCCACTAAAATATATTGAGGATGTCACCCTTTCAATATATATACCAACCAATATAATGGTTTCTTACACAAATCAAAATTAAAGGTGACATAATGAGATTAAAGATCTTTGAAAATCTGTCTCATGCGTTCCATGTATCTTGCTGACTGATTTTTCTGGAAGCAAGACTGACTGCTTTCTCCGGCGGGCTGTCATTCTAAACTGCTATGGCCCTGGATTAGAGATATGTGAACTTTAGGATAAATATGTATGATTATGGCTAAGTTAACCATGAGTATTTATATATTTGGTTTTCTCTCAATTTTTTTTCTTTTGTAGGTAATGGTATGGGTCCTCTGTAGCAAAAATATTCACAGGTAAGTACATACATTGGTAATGCGTTATATAGCTCATCTCAGGCCCAAAAATGTGGTATCAGATTTATCTGTCATGATTAATTTAGCTTTTAAAGCACTAGATATTTATTAATGATTTTTTCTAAGTCCAACATGTATGGTTGGCCACTACATAACAACAACTGTGTTTATATTATGAAGATGCAATTATTCAATCAATACCAATATTAAAGCAGCTAGGAATGGCAAAAATATTCAAATGGATTGTGAATGGCATTTAGGATTTCTGTACTGTATATATTTAGTTATTAAATATTCTATAATTCCGTATTGAAACCTAGTACAAGAACCTATAAATATTGTAATTATGGCTAGCTTAAGAAAAGTATGTTGCATACAAAAGTATGCGTACATTCATCCATTCTAGAGTCGGTCAGAACTCAGCTCTGGCTTCCTGGGCCTTACACATCTCCCACACTCTTAGAACTTGTTCTCACAATGAAGACTCAAAAGCATTTTGAAATTTTTAATTAAAGGCTGAATTAATGTTTTAGAAAAGCTTTCAATTTGTTTAAAACAGAAGTATAACCTTATCTAGGCAAAAACTCCAAGTAAACAATTCTGATTCCAATACTACACAGCTAAAAAAAAAGCTATAAAAACTGGACAGAGTATTGCACGTTAACCTTCTCATAAGTGGGAAAATCACACTGTACGTGCACGCACACACACACACACACACACACACACACACACGCAGTTTGTGATCATATAATTCAAGAGTAAGATAAGTCCCTAAACACTTAAAAATTTTCACTGGCCCCAATTATTCACATTCTTCATCCTGAAGTTTAAAATAGAAATGTATTTACCTTGCCAGGTCTAAAAAATACTTTTGTTAACCCAAACTTGTAGTCAATTTCATTTAAGCCCAGAGCTTTAAACAGAGCCTGAAAAATAAAAAGTTAAAGTTAAATGTCAACTAGTAAACAAGAAAGACAGTCTATAGCTAAGAAATTTCAACTGAGGTGGTATCTGTACCTTACAAAAGAGTCTTGGGTCTAGTCTTGCAAGTTTATCTGGCATATACTTTTTATACATGTTGTAGAGTTCATGAAATGAGGCTCGTGATGGGAAACCACCCTGCATCAAGTCCAAAACAGACACCATGCCTGGATGCACAGACAGACACAAATTACTGCCGGTCACTGTACAAAAGTCCAGAACTAACTTGCAGATGACCAAACCCTTGGCTTGCCCTGGAGCTGCAGACAAAACGTAAGCTGACTTACAGACAGAAGCCCATTGAGAATTTCACGGAGCTTAATAAATTACCAAGTCTACAGATGCTTTCTCAGCACTCAAAGCTGATTTACTCTTAAAACTTTTGACGTTAAAAAAAATTAGGATGGCCAAACCAAGTACGCTTCCTCCTAGGAATCCCCGTGGCCTGGCTCTGCCCCGGGGAGTCCAGTGTGAAGCCCCCTGGTGCAGTCCGGCTGGCACGCACTCAGAGCCCCTCTTCGCTGCCACTCAGGAAGCACAGCCTGTCCCAGGGTTATAAGGAGGGAAGCCCGCCTGCCTCGGGTGCCGAGGAAGGGACGTACGCGGTCAGGGCCTGGCCGAGCAGACCACTGCTAGGACGCCCACTAAGATAGGGCTGCAAAACGAACGTCTGATAGGATCAGGAAGTCACGGTGATCTACCAGATTAAATCATCCAAGGATTATTTTGCTGGGCTGATCAAGATGGAAGCTGAATTCTCTTGGATTAAGGAGCAAGTGGAAGGCAGGAAAACTGAGAAAGCAAGCAAGACTGTTCTTGGACATAAAAGGAGAAACCAGAGGACAACATGCAAGGGGGGTGGGGGGGGCAGAAGGCAGGCCGTGTGGTGAGAGGGACTTCAGGTGAGGTTTAGCACGTTTAAAAGTAATGGAAGATCCACCTCAGAGGGAACATTTCAACACACATGTCAATGTTAAGAGTCATGGGAAGGGAGGAAGGGATGGATTCCAAAGAACCCGAGTCTTGACTAGGAATGAAAGGCACTTATACTTCCTTAACAGGAGGGAAGGCCATGCAGGCAGCAGAAGCAAACAGGTGAAGCGGTCAGTGTTACTGAAGTGCTGAGGCTGCCTGCTGGCAGAGGCTCGGAGATCTGCCAACCAGGTGGGCCCAGCCCGTCTCCGCGAGGAACAGAACGTGCTGACCAGGGCAACGGGAGGGCGGGCTTGGGAGGTTACCCTTAAGAGGTCAGTGGTCGTGGACTTGTGATGGTGCCAGTCTGTCCTGCCTACCTCATCTGTACAGATGAGGAGAAAGGACAGAATTAGGTTCATCAATGGCTAAGTTTTATGAGAGGGGTCAGAGGCAGATTCAGATTTGGGGGGCTTGAAGTTTACATAATTAGAGAAGGGCTCTTTAAGAAGAAAGTATGAAATTACAAATTACAAAAGAATACAAAATCACATGCAAGGTTTTAGAAGTAGCCCATTTAAATGTGGACCCCGAAGGCTAAGTGACCTTAGCTTTATAACAAATGCACCCGAGAGAAGCAAAATAAGGGGTCAAGAGGGCATAAGCATTAAGGAAGGGTCACAGCCTGTTCTGGGTCCAAACGAGAGAAGGATGGATGCCCTGGGAGAAGCGGGGCAAGTGGGGGCAGGGAGGGAGGGCAGGAGGGCGGGAGAGGAGTAGAGGAATCCGTGAGCACATGCCCGAGACAGCCCAGACGGGTACGGTCAGGGTGAGGCAGGGAGAGAGGCGGCACCGGGAGTCTCACTGAATGCGGGCGTCCCACCGAGCCAAGGGCCTTGTGCTGCTTTCACTTGTTTTTACAAGTAGTGGAGTTTTTTTAACAAGGGCACCAAGCCCACGCCGACCCAGTGTTGTGGGTGGGGGGACTGAGGCGCCGCAGGAGAGCCACCCACTTCAGGGAGATCCAGGCTCGCAGTAAGAGTTTTTCATAATTGTCACGTCAGTGATGTAAACTGGCTTTACTTCACAATAAGCTATACCCCAATATTGCTCAGATTACTTGCCAACCACACTTTTCCCATAATTAAAGGAAATACAAGATTAAAATCTTACTGCTATCAAAAATAATCGAGGTAACTGTGAATTATTTGAAAACATCAGACATATTAAATTGCACTTAAGCAGAGACACAGTAATACAGATTATAAAAATATGGAAATACCTGAACATTGAAGCTGAGACAAAATTTGAGCACCTTCAAAGTGGTGGCTTGTCATCTTTAAATTAGGTTTGATACAACGAATAAAGCTTGCTCCCTAGGAGAATTAAGGTACTTTTTAAGACTGTACCATAGCATTTAAATTTTTCTATTTCTATGAATTCCAGCAACTTTCCAAATATTATCATTAACATTTGAATCTCTTTTAAAATAATCAATGGAAACTTAAAATCTTATTAGCAGACTTTTATACTTTAAAGCTTGGAATGAATTTCTGTATTATATACTAAGAATATTAGAAAAACACTACATTTTAGATTTCTGAGTGCCAAAAACTGTGTTACTGTAGTAAGAAAAGTCTTTCATTGTAAAATATTTTAGCAAATTTAAATGATACATTTCACAGGTTAACATACATGTGATTTTAGCCTACATTTAAGTGTATATACACCTTATGCTTCTATGATAACAAAATTGCTCTATGACAAGAAAAGTAAATCATCTTTTTTCATCATTCTACTTCCAAAATACACAGTAGGTCCCTAAGGTGCACCACTGACATTTCAAAGTTATGCTTGTTAAACTATCTGTTTTAAAGCTTAAAGGCATGGATTTGGAATCAGTTATCAGACGATGCTACATGAGGTAAAAAGAATTGGATATGTACACAGTGAAGCTGTGAGGTCCCGAAGCTAATATACTAGACCATCCAAATAAATGTTTCTCTTCAAAATAGTCACCTTGCAAAGTTAAAGTTATTTCAACAATGATGCTCACTGCAAACACTTTCAGAACACTCCTTAGCAATGCCTGCTTTATATGAATCACAAAAGGCATCTCATCATTTTACAGTAGCACTGTGTTTGGGTGATAAAGATACCCTTCTCATCAGATTTGGTTTTTAAAGAAGCTTGGGTCCTTAAGAGATAAATATTTGCAAACAATGTGGGTATTAAAGGAACTTTCTAATGGTTCTAAAAGCAGGCCTAACCTAGTTAAGAACTAACAGCACTGACAGAATAAATACCTGGCTTTTCAAAATGAATTACTTGCAAATGAACAGTATTTGGTTAATTCTGTGGATTTGTTTAAGAAATAAGTCTTATCTTGGAATCATGCCTCATTTATATAACCCGCATACCAAATTTCTATGAATTTTTCATTAAAAAACAGAATCAGTTGTTAACCTAATTTTAAAAAAGGGCTTCTAGGAAATACTGCCTCTATACCAAGGCATAAAAATATATGCCCATTTTTTTCAATGTCAGCATTTCCATGTTGGAGAATGTTACTATAGAGTAATAAAATGAAAATGAATTACAAGTATTATCTTTAATCATAAAAAACTATATTTTCCTTCTCCATGATAACTAATTATTTTTACTTTCCTGAAACTACAGGATAATTTTAATTTAATAACATTCAGAGAATTCTATTTATATTTATAAAATAATTTGACTTCATATGTGTGCATGTGTGTGACCTTTCTTCAAAAGAAACCTAAACAAAATGAGTCTTAAAAACTTATTTTTTTAAATGAGAGAATTTGATTTAAAATGAATTTCTAACTATTTCAGGTTTGCTGTGCTTATCTGAGTAATTATTAATAATAGTTAACAAGGACCATTTCCTGGGTTTTTTCTTTAAATGTACTCACAGTGCTTCGAAGTTTATCCAGAAGCAAATTTAACTGTGTCTGCAGAAGAAAGGAAACCACTTTATTATTTCAAAAAGCAAAGTATGAAATGTCCAAGTTAATATTAGCTCCCAACATCAGAATATGACAACATGCAGTAACATTGACATACACTACATCACAATTTAACAATTGCCGGTACAGAAACTCCTTAACAGATAGTAACATGCAAAATGCATGGCTAATGTAATGCCAAGGACAGGAACTTATTTTACTTATCAGAACTCGTGTAATTATAAAAGTTTGAAAACTAGAAATATAGAAGTCACACACACACTTGCAGGTGGGGTGAATGAGGAGAAAAGATAGACAGGCAATGAAGGAAGCCAATGAAAATGTCAGGGATGCATTCACTGGGGCCAACAGAGCAGGATCTGAGCGAGCCGCAGGCTGGGTGTGTGCAGTCCGCGTCACACCCACCGAGGATGAAGCCGAACGGTACACACTAGGATCGTCTTACAGAACACCTATCATAAAGAAACCGTCCTGCCTAGCTCTACAAACCCTCTTTACTATTTCAAAACATCTTACATAGCAGTGATTTTTAAAGCCTGGACACTTTTCTCAAGAAAATTTGATAATGAACACTAGAAGTTACTATGTTTTCCTGTTTTTAATATTAAGTAATCATAACTTACTCTGGGTTCAATACATTAAACTCATGTATTTGCTTTACTTATCTGCAAAATAAGTTAATTATGTAAAACTCTTATATTGATTTTATAGTAAGGTGCTTATTATACTACTTACAACAAATATAAATTAAGATGTGAATTCTTAAATTAATATATTGGCTCAATCACAGCTTATTTAATAAAAATAGTAGGTCTGCTTTCCTGAATGCCTTCTATGACTGCTCAAAGCTGTCCACAGACATTACCATGTTTAACCAGCACAGTGATTCTAACTAAGGACATTATCGAGTTCATTTTCCCGGTGAGGGCACTGAGGCCCAGGGAGACAGAGGACTTGCCCGAATCATGGGGCTGGAAAAGGCAAAGCCAAGATCCCAGCTCAGGCCCAACCCCAAAGTTCATCCTCCTACCCTTGATACCAGAGTATACTTGAGACAGCAAAGGCTCAAATTACAAAAAGAGTGAATTTGTCACTGAATTTAAAAAAAAACAAAAAAAAACACAGGCATGCCCCATTTATCTGGCCGACAGAGTTGTGATGACCTCAGTCTATCTGGACCACGACACAACGGAAAAGCAAGTGTAAGAGCCACTGATCTGGAGAGAAAAAAAACACCATGATGTCCACGTTCTGGACTCATGACGAACAGTATTCTCCAGAACAATGGGGAGAAAGTCAGTCGGAAGAGCAGGGCAGGAAGAACAATCTACCCGCATCCGAGAGAGGCTGTCCGTCATCAAGGAACAGAGCCACAGACCGTAAAGCCTAAGGGCTGCCAGCCTCATATGTGACTCGTGCGTTATTTGTATTCATTTTTATTTTAAAGCATCCAAATATTCATGTACTCATGTGTATAATAACAGGATAAGATTTCCTTTGAAAAGCATTACTTTTCCTAAGACACCACCTGTGAAAGGGTTATGCTTCAATATCCTGAAAACATCACTTTTCAGTGGAAAACTTCTGGTTCTCAGTGACGTCGGATAACTGAAGTATGACTGCAAATTTTAGCCTGTTTTGTTTTCTTGCCTCATAGTACATGAAATTAATTTAATGAGCTATTCTACTGTATTTAAAATTAAATACTAATTAGTATTTCATTTCAAAGTATCTCATAGAACATCTTAAATTTTGTAATTAATAATGTCAGTTATATCTGCAAAATATATTTTATTACATATAAGCAATTTTAAGGAATTTCTAGTCTCAACATAAAAGAATACTTTAATACTATTTGGAATGTTTTTGTTTTTATTTATATTGTCTAAAATTTCAAGTATGTTCTTGCCAATAAGAACTTGCCAGGAACTATTATATTAGGTAGGAAAGTAATGAATGATATCAATCTCACATAGGCTAATGTACTGTTTAAACCAGTCTGTTATCATGTGTCTAGTCAGGAATTTAAGGTCATGCAAGTAAGAGAAGAAATACTGCTCAAAATAATTAGGAACTCATGATCAGTGGACATAACTTGTAACAAAGCTAAAGATTTTTTATTACTTTTCATTCAGTTACCTGAAAATGTATTATAAGCTTTCTCATATATTTATGCTTAAGCTTTAAAAAAAGCCGAGGTTAACATGATTTTACCAAATTAGTTATTACTTAGGCCCATTGCAATCCACCAGGGACTTCAGGCAGATCACACTGTCAGTATCATGATCTGACACTCAAATACTGTCTCTTACTAGTAGCATCGCTTTTGAATACTTAAAGTGCACACACTGAAAGGCATATGCAGTTTTATTGTAAACATAACACTACTTTGTAGAAATGTGTAAGAGAAATTCTATTTCCTTGTTCTATTTATTTTTTATTCATTAAACTTGTTACACAAAAGTTTCTAGATCCTCTTTTTATATGCTCGGTGCTCAACGATCAGTGTCCGTCTCCAAACCACGCCATGTGACAAGGCCTGTGAGGCCTCAGGAATAAGTTCCTCATCCAAAATTAGCAAGACAAATGAGATGTTCTTCAATGTTAAATAAGCAATCTGAAGGGTTTGCCACACAGAGCACTTATTTTTACAGCAGTTATTAGAAGCTTTCATCCGATTTTAGTGTAACATGCACACCCGTAACGCACTGTGACAGAAAGCATGTCGACATGAATCAGACTGGGCGTTAACTTGCAATGGGCTCTTCAGCGCGGCAGCCACTCTCCCAGAGGAGCCCGCGGAGGGGGTCGCGTACCCGCAGGCCCTGGCGGTGCCTGCTCTTCCTCTCAACTCAGCTAGCGCTCTCTAGCACCCTGAGCCAGACTATCAGCTTGGACGGACCGCTGAGTGGGGAGGAGACAGGAGACACACAGGAAAGAGATGCTGTGAAGGTCAACCAGACAGGAGGCGAAAGCGAGAACATTAGGAGAAGCAATCAGGTCTGTCAGGCACCAGGAAGAACACGACCATAAACTACAAGGAGGTCTGTGCGCTCCCTCCCTGCCCAGGCCCTGTCCTTCTGCACACAGATGCCGACCATGAGCTCACGGTCTGCTCCTGGCCTTCATTCATGGCGTTCCTGAAGTGGTCTGCATTCTCCATCATAGAGTATGAAACAATGCATTTTATTTTAAATGCTGGAAAAAAAAGAACATTTAACACAAATACCTTAAACTTGTTTCCCACACTGATGAAGCTAAGCTTTCCTGCTTTTTGTTTAGTATCTTTGTTGTTATTTGTGGATGATTCAAATAATTCCCGAATAAACTTATCCCTGGATTCACATATTAAGGATTCAAGAGACATATGTAAGGCGTCGTTATTTTTTTCCACAAACTGGGTCTGAAAAACAAAGGGAACAGGAATGACTGGGGCCCTGTGATAACATCTCTAAAGAGAACACTGCCCATAGAGCCCTCTGCCACGCAGGACGTCTGCCTGGTGCTGTCCGGCACAGCTGCCAGCAGCCAGTGCGGCCATAGAGCACGCAAATGAACTTGAGTTCGGATTTTATTCGACTTCAAACAGCCAGCTGTGACCAGATGTCACTGTACTGCACCGTGCGGCACCAGCATCCGGGGGTCCTCCTAGCAAGGGCTGTACCCACCGTCTCGTAGCAAACGGCCCCCGCGAAGTGCCTGATGATGAAGCCTTCGTTGTCTCGGAGGTTCCTGTGAATGGCCAGCTTAGATTTTCTGGGAATCTGAAACAACCCATGTACCCAGTCATTAAATTATCAAAACTATGTAATTTCCTTTAGAAAACATTTTGGATATGAAATAGTTGTGATTATACAGGAAAAATGCACATTTTACATAAGTATACTGCTTTGAAACATCTAGTAAGCCTTAAAATACTAGTGAAACCTAGCAGATATTTGGATATAATCTCTTAGGAAAGACAAAAGGAATAGGACCAAAAAACAAAACAAAACAAAACCCACTACTTAGAAACACATGTGAAGCACAGAGGGCACATCACGGTGCTGACTGCCTGTCTCGGGCACTGGGCCTGGACTGGCCTTGCTGCAGACCTCTGCAGCCTCCCCAGCCCACACCTCCTCTGGCCAGGGGGGTCCTGGTGCCGCCGGTTGAGAAGCACTGCTTTGAAGAGCTCCCCCCAAAACGAACACGGGGACACAGCCGCTCTGTAAGCCACACACCCTGACGCGTTCACACAACCCGCCTCAATCCATCTGAAGGAAGCCAAACCATTTTAGGGCTGTTCTATCTAATAGCTCAGATTTGTATCATACTTAAAGGTTTCCAAGATGCTTTCACATAAAAGATCACATCTGGTCCTCAAACTAACATATGGTTAAAAGAGAATCTCGCTCAGAAATAAAAAAGCTAAGACTTCAGAACCGTGCCAGGCTTCTCCCAGGTGAGAGAGCCGGCAGAGCTCAGAGCCTCCTCTTTGTGTGACTGGGCAGCAGCCGTGCGAGTCAGGGCGCTGGGGACAAGACACCGGCCTGCTTCCGGACCCAGCGCCTCCTTGCCACGCTAACAGGGCAGGTCCTCACCTCCAGCTGGGGATGCTGGCAGGATCCACCCAGAGGACTACCGGGAGGATTAAATGAAGTAATCCAAGTAAAACTCTCAAAACAGTGCCTTGCATGTGCTAAGTGTTCAATAAATGGCCATTATTACTTTTATTTCCAAAGAAACACAACAAAAGCAATGATCCTCAAAAATTAAAATTTACTGTCTTGCTCTTGTTCTCTTTTGAGAAAAGTGGGCAAAACCCATTCCTGGTGCTTTACTTTGCTGTCCCTGGAGTTATTTGTCTCTGAGACCCTGTCCCAATTTTCTCATCTCACTACTAGTACTCGTGGTGAAGTTGGCCATGTGTCACCAGCTGCTCATAACAAAGACCTGTGGGCAGTGAGTAAGAGGACTGGGCGGGTATCTCTATTGCTAGCAAAGATTCTGCTGGGGATACATATTGTTTCATTTCTATCTTCACCAAAGTGAGAGAAATAAGCCCCACATTCCAAGAAATGCTTAAGGATACTGAAGAACTGCAAGCGAGGAGCAGGCGGCTGGGGATCCAGTCCCTAGAGGTCACCAGAGTCACAGCCGCTTTCCAAGTGAATGCATCCAGCCTATTTACCCAAAACTGTCCTGATTTAGCTAAGATAACACACACTCAGACGCACGGAAACATGAATGCGGATGAATCCGGGATCCGTCAAAGCAATGCTTGTCACCCTCTCTGTCACCCCAGAGCGTACGTAGCAGGGGGGACACACGGCTCTAGGCAGCGTTTCTTTCCTCTCTTCCTCCTTTCCCCCCTCCTTCCTGGCTCTGCTGTTCTCTGTGACACGAGCAGGCCCTGGCTCCGTGGGTGACATCAGCACCCACGTCCCTCTGCTCGGTCAGCTTGCTGCACTCAGGCGATGAGGGCTCAGTGCAAAGACAAGCGCAGAAACAGGTGGGCACAGGAGTACAGGCACGTGGTCCACACAGCCCGGCCTGGTGGGCAGGGGCCCTACTGTGCACCGCCCACGGGTCCAAGCACGGCTCTACGACCCAACAGCAGCTCAGGGAGTGGGTGTGCTGGCCCCCCTAGAAGAGCGTGCCTCTCATTTATGCCCACTGCGCTCTGTGCCCGTTCTCCCTTTCGCTGATTCTTGTCACTTTAGCTTCCGTGTCTGTCTCTGAGTACAAAACCCCCAGGTCAGAGCATCACACGGACTGGCTGATCGCCATCAGGCAGGTGACTGCTTGTGACTTCAGGTGTGAGCCCCCGGAGTGTGGCCAAGGTCACGTGACACCACACACAGCACCTGATGGCCACTTTCTCAGAAGGCAGATCATAAAAAGGGCAGTCATAAAAGTCTTTCTGTGCATTTTAGATAAGTAAAGTGCACTTTCCATCCAGCTGAAATGTATGGCCTTGATTAGACAGATGATCATCAAAAAAATGCACACACACACACACATTCAGTGCCCACCCACAGAAGAGGCTGTGCTGGATATACTATAGTTGCTCTAAGCCCTACATAACTTCTTAATCGAATTATCTAATTATCTAAAAAGGCAACATCTTGCACATCTTTCTAAAGGTTTCCCTTCAACCCAAATCTCAATTGTGGAATGACAAAACGCACAGTGAGTCGGAAGTGGTCTTTGTGCTTCTGGTGAACTGCAGATGTGAAGTGTTGATCACTTGGCTGGGGAAGACGATTTTCTTCATCCAAAATATCCAATATTCCCACTAATTTTGCTTCAATTAAATCTATTTCAAAAAATAAAAATGTGATAGGATAAAAACATGGCACTCTGAAGATATCTGAACAATTCAGTGATGACAAACCTTAAGGACTGGTCAGAAACAATGTGACAGATGGTTCCCTCAACAACCCTAGAGTGCACAGGGATTTTATTTCAAATCTGGCAATTTATTAGAAAATACATCACACACGGGTGTCCCCACCAACCAAAAGTTCCCTGTGCACCACGTCACTTTTATGAAAGACCGACACTCGTGCCTATCCTCACTGACTGAAAGAAATCGGGAGGCGTCTGCACCCTGTGAAGTAGCACCCCCTCCTCACTTCCTGCCATGCCGGCGCATGAGAGGTTTCGCAGGAACGCTCTGCCTTCAGATGGGAGAAACCTCTACTTAATGTGGGTTTTAGAAAAACAGCTCCATGAGGAAAGTGACCATTTCTCGGCTAGGACAAGAGGCCCAGGGCCCAGAAGGCCCCCCTCGTCCAGGTGGCCCATCTGCACACAGAACGCAGTAATGCTACAGAAACTTGGCCCTGCACGCTTCTTGGAAGTCCATGCAGATCCTGATGCAGGCTTCCAGCAAACTTCAGTGCCAGTCCATTTTTATGCCTCTTCCAACTCATGCTGCTCGAATTTCCTGCCTGTCCAAAATGACTGTGAAGTGCTTACATACAGCACAGGACAACTGTGAGAGGGACAGACTCGAGAGGCAAGAGGGCATACACAGAAACCAAGGTTCTCTCCACACTGGTCAGAGAGCGACACGTCCTGGGCAAAAAGGGGTGGCGAAGGTGGGGTGCGCTGAGCTAAGCTTTAAATGAGAGCATTCTGACAGACGGGGAAGGGTGTGGGGTGGGCTGGAGATGAAAAGAAGGGAGGGGTTCCAGCCCAGATAGGAACACACACCGTCTAAGGCACAGAGCCCTGGCGGGAGTGTGCTTTGAAAGTCACATTAATGCAAAGCGGTACAATTGTTATTACACTGTCGTGCCCAAATCTAGCCCATGCATTACTGATTCCATTGTCAAACTGAGTTTTCAAAGCAAAGCTTGCCGGACAAGTGATTTAGAGATGGAGGGGGACAGGAAAGGAGGCTGAGCACTAGCTGGGTGGTGACAGGGATGAATTTCTTTACTACAAAAAAAAAGAGAGAGAGAGAGACCCTTTCTCCTGCTGAGCAGTATTATCTGGATGTGACCCAGGGGACTTGTGAGGCCCACCTGCCTGGGCCACTGGACACCGCCAGAGCCCAGGGAACAGAGACAAGACGACCGCAGGAGGGCAGGAGGGCAGGACCCGGCCCTGGGCAAGTGCCCGCAGCCTGGCCTAGCCTCCTCGCGGGAGACCGCGCGCCCCCTACTGCTGAAGCCGTCTAGTCTCCTGCTTAACTTAGTCACATGTCAGCTGTTTAAGAGAGAAAACATTCATCACAGTAAATGGAAGAAATTTTAGGAAAACTTTCAATATAGCTGAATTTGATAACTTGGTAAGGAAAATAGGTTTCTAACAGTACTAGAGAAGTAATACCATTCTCAAATACCAGAGTTTCAAGCCCCATAACCAGAAATATCAACCGCAGAGCAAAGAAAAATTACCAGTAAAAAACACTGACTATATCTTCCCATATTTCCCAAAAGTAGAATGAATGCATACCTATACAGTCCTGATTATCCACATAATGCACTTCATTAACACCCAAACCTTCTTTTTGATAGAGTTCTTGCTCCTAAAACGAAATGATCAAAATCACAGATTTGGAAATTCTGTATTACATGAAATGGCCTCAGCATCTTGTGCCCTTTGTGATGACATGTATTAATTAGTCACATTACAAAGATTCACACCAACTAGGTCAGGGGCTGAGGAGTCTTATAAAACATTAGGGAAGACAAATCCTTGCCCCTAAAGCAATATGAAATCAAAAATTAAATGGCCAACATAGATTTAATTTATATATGTGGAAACATTCCCTCCTACAGTTTTTCTTCCTTGAATAAGCACACTTTTCCTGAACTGTGCAGAGCAGCTGCGTACAAATACAGAGATCTGTTTATAAGCATTCAAACCCAAAGAAAGACCAGGGTTCTGAAATATTCACAGCAATTTTAAAGTCAAACTTAGCAGAACGGACCAGCAGTCAGCAAGCTTTCTGTCCAGGGCCCAACAGGAAATGCCTCCCATGTGGGCCACGCGGTCCCTGTCAGGATCGAGAGCAGAAAGCTGTCTGCCAGGGCGGAGTAAAGGCGACAGAATAGGAGAAAGAAGCAGGATTTCAAGTTCAGTGAGAACCGCTAGCAAGTAGCAGCCCACGTCCACTTCTGAGCGGAGGCCTGTTAGTTTGTCCTGCAGCCCAGGCCTCGGCTGGGCCATTAACGCCTCCGATGGGCGTGAGCGGCAGCTAAGCCACTGGGGCCTGCCTGCGCTGGCCGCCTCTGATTCGCTGGGCCGCCCTATTCACACCACATCAGTCCGGTCAACTGTGGCTTGTTTCTGTTCCTTGAAATTTAAAATAGTTTAATGCAGTTCTTAAATTTAAACTGTAATGGCAATTACCTCCTTCAGAATCCTTTCGTTAAAGAATTGTTGAAGCTTTTCATTGCAATAGTTGATGCAAAATTGTTCAAAACTATTATGCTCAAAATACTCTGAAAACGTAAAACCAGAATCAAGAGTTATTATCACATCAGCTTCATATTAATACATTTATCTTAATATGAAAATTTTATTGTATCAATGCTTAATTTAAGATTAAGTTTAAAGTACATATAATTGTTCTATACTCCCCAAGTGCATTTAATTCAAGACAAATTTTGTTAGGCATTAAAGTTAAATGTTAAAAATACCATGCTTCATTTGATAAAAAAAGGTGTTTGTCACATGAGATAAATGTCAATGTAGTAAAAGATATAAAATGTAAGCCACTTATGACAATTTTTTTAAGCACAGGTGTTAAAACAATCTAAATAAAAGAAAATGACTTAAAATGCAAGTGCTTTAGACTTTCTGTAAAATTACAGTTATGAAAATAGTTATGGATTCTAACTCCTTCTAAATTAAGGGGCTATATTACACTGTCGCCAAGACCCCTGCAGCCTGGAAACATGATTATTCTGTGTGCACGACTAACTGGTGCAGACGAGGAGACCAAAGGCTCAACGGGTGAAGTCTTAAGTCAGTGATAAATACAAGGTAATGATCCATTATAATTCTAAAATATAAATCACATCAAAGCCAAAACTTTGCCCCTCCCAGAACTAAGCGTCCCCTCACCCCATCTTCCCTCAGAAGAGGCAGAGAAGGCACCCCTCCTGCCGCCTGGAGTGCGGGCCCACGGAGTGAGCGGAAAAACCAGCAGATTCATGCTGAGATTTCTCGTCGAACAGCCACTCGGAACAGCACAGCCTTCAGATGTCGGCGGCTCACTTCACGTCCGGCTGCCCCGCTCTGAGCTGGCTCTCACATATCCATCTTGGTATGTTATTTATTTGGTGGAAATTAATCAGAAATAGCTCTGCTGACAAGTAACACTGACAGTGAATTTCCACACAGTGATGAGCCGGACCCGTATGTCCGCTCAAACCTGCGCCCGGCCGGCTCTGCGCTGTCGTCAGCAGTGCTCACGGCCTGCTTCTCTTTACTAGGACCCGCCTTCACCCTACTCAGTCGCATTCATTTCAGAGTACAGGGGCATCTCCTCACTCTAACAGTTCCAACCAACATATTTTAATTGTAGCATTAGTGTGACCACAACCTGTGAGTCTTTCCCTTTTTTTAAGCATCAGCTTCTGATTTAGATCCTATTATGAAATGAAAAGTAGATGTGGACATATAACTGAAAATACATCAAGTGACAGGTATTATGAGAGGAAAAACATTTTTTTATTTTAAATGTGTGAAAACCTGAACGAAAAAATATCAAATACAAACACACAAATGAAACTATACTTACCAAACCCAGCAATATCGAGGACCCCAATAAAACAGGATGACGTTTCAAAAGGAAAACACTGATTTACCCTGTTGACCACATGATCAAAAAGATGGCTGTAGACAGTCTTCGCCAAGGCATCACGAGCGTTGTTCGCCTGCTCTACTTTCAGGGGCACCCTGTAACACAAGGCCGCACCGATTCTCAGTCTTTACGGTACCAGATGGTGACAATAATGCAGCATATCCAAGATCAAAGTACATCTAAACATATTCACTGTGAAGAACGAAACAAATAGCTATAAAAGGTCACCTGTGAACAGACACAGATCGGTGCGCTAAGCCGGATACTGCGAGAGGCAAATGAGGGAGTAAACTGGCTAAAAACCTTCAGGCTCAAGCAATCTTTCCAACCTTAATTTATACTTCACTGTACATGACGAATATATAAAAAATTATCCGGAGGAATAAGCTTCCTTTACATTTTCCTTAAATGCAAAAAAAACCATTGTGTTTAATTCAAGATAACTTTAAAAGTTTGGTAACTTGTTCAACACTGTTTATGAAAAGATGTTTTATGTCTTAAAATCTGAACTGTCCAACTCTACTATTTAATTAAGTCATGACATGATATAACAGAATAGATCCAGACATGCCCTTGTCCTCGAGAAAATTATCGCTGCATGAAGGGAGATGGCCCTTAATGAGAATTTCCTAACACCAGGGCAAATGCTAGCAGGGTAAGCATGGGGCACCATGGGAGGCCCAGACAAGATGCCAAACCTGGAAGTGACCTAACAGTCATTCAGGTCGGACCCTGGAATCCCTTCTCAACAGGAGCTTTCCAACCTGTATTTCCCACAACCCTTTCCTAAAGTGAATCCATACAAAAACAGAGAAGAACTGCTTTGGGACAGAGAGGAATGGAGGTCTAGTACCTGAGGCCCAGCCACCTGGCCTTCAGCAACCTTCCTGCAGGCCCCACAAATGGCTCCAAGGGGCCAAGCAACTGCGGGGCCAGGAGGTGCTCTATGCAGGGTGCTGGCTGAGGTTTTCTCTATAATAAGAATAATCTGGAATTACCTCAGCAAAGAGTCATGTTAGGCATACCTTGCAAACACTTCCCAAAGTATAAGAGCTACTGAATCTCCTGAGTAGCCAAAAGTTTTTTTTTTTAACCCTTCCTGTTTCAATTCGTTGAAAAATTTTCTGAAATACATTTTGCTTTGGGACAGAGAGGAATGGACGTCTAGTACCTGAGGCCCAGCCACCTGGCCTTCAGCAACCTTCCTGCAGGCCCCACAAATGGCTCCAAGGGGCCAAGCAACTGCGGGGCCAGGAGGTGCTCTATGCAGGGTGCTGGCTGAGGTTTTCTCTATAAGAATAATCTGGAATTACCTCAGCAAAGAGTCATGTTAGGCATACCTTGCAAACACTTCCCAAAGTATAAGAGCTACTGAATCTCCTGAGTAGCCAAAAGTTTTTTTTTTTAACCCTTCCTGTTTCAATTCGTTGAAAAATTTTCTGAAATACATTGCTGAAACCTCCTGCCTGCCTTATTTAGCAAGGGAGAGAGGATGTGACATTTTCCCCCCAAATGAGGATCTCACAATGCCTCAAAATGATGACTGAATATTCTGTTTGACAAACAAAAATGCCTAAAACATAGGATATTGAGCCAAAAGTGTACACAGACCCAAACACAACTAGTTCTTAGTTATCCATTTTAAAAAATCTTGGCTAGGCTCTTATTTTCTTGTCATTTGCAATTTCCTCTAAATGAAGTACTCTAAAGGTGAACGTTTTCCTAAAGAGAGTCCTACTTAACCTAAGTTCTCACACACTATTTGCAAGGAGAATCACTTAAAGTAAAATGGTCTGTCTGTTCCCTTCTGAAACTAAATAATGGTTTAGTTGTAAACCATTATTTGTAATGTTTATAAATATACTGAACAACACTAAATTGTACACTTTAAAAGAGTGAATCATATATTTTAAAAAGTCCCAAAAAATTGAAAAAAAAAAGATCTGTGGCTTAAAACAATTGAATATTAATATAATCAGGTCCTACTTTTGTAGTTGTACAAAAGTCAACTAAACCTCTTTCTTACCTAATGAATTCCAAGTTTGTGCCATGCAGTATATACCTTAAAACCAACAATTTTAGAAGCCACGTAAATCAGCCTTTGTTTATGTGACGGCATGAGAGGTGCAGAATTTTGATCTATCAAGCACATGTTTTAGAAGAGCGTAAGAATGAGGCCCACATACAGGCGACTCCACAGCCCCGCGCCCTCCCAGGGGTCCCAGCCCGGCAGGCGGGAGGCTCGCGGGGGGCTTACTTTATGACTGTTCCTTTGGCGCCCCCCGCTGTGGTCAGCATGACCCTCGTAGTCAAGCTTACGCGGAGATCCTCTTCCTCCAGACCCAGTAACTCGGCACAGTGCTCCAGGGACTGGGCAGACTGATTCTTCAGATTACAGCCGCCTAAGGAAAACGATTCTGATTTGAAGTGAACAAGCATTTTGTAAACCAGATTTCCAACGCCCATTTCACAGAGGTACACTCTGCTTACATAAAACTATGGAACGGGCAGAGCTCATTCATGACTTCACCTTGCCTTGCCCTTTTCCACGCTCGCCAAGCCCCTAGGCCGCCCAGCTCAGGGTGGGCACCCAAGCTCAGGGCAGCTGGTGGCAGAACCGACTCTCCCCTGCCTGGTTCACCATTTCACGACTCCGCAAGTGAGATGTACGGATGACGGGTTTAATCCTTGTTAGTATATACAGTAAGTCCTGGACAACACACTAAAACTCACGATTCCATGGACTCTACTCATGGTCCTGGACTGGGCGATGGTTTCTTACAGAAGTACTGACAAAAGTTCCAGGAGTAATTTTAGTGCCAAAACGGTGTACGGCACTTTGGTAGGTCCCTGTGGATAGGTATCTATGCATGTGTGTGTGTGTAAGTGTGTGCATGTGGGGTGGGGGGCTGGGCGGTGTGAGCGTGAGTACGTAAGAGTGTGTGTGGCTGTGTGTGCACGTGTGTGTACTCCCCGTGTGCGGGAAGGGGAGGGTGAAGAGGAACTGCTACTGCCCGTACCCCATGCCCCGGCGTCCTGCTTACCAAGGCTGCTTAAAAAGTGCTGCACAGACAGACACTGTACCGCAGCAGCTGAGACACGGCACCGGCGGCTCTGCAGCCTGCCAGCTGTGTGACCTGCAACAGGTCTTCTTTCCTCTGTATTCGTTTCCTTATCCATATAATGAGGATATAACAACTGTACTGAACAACAGGCTTATTAGGTAACTAATAAGGCTGTTATGAAGATTAATAAAGAAATTAATAATATGAAATAAATTAATATGAATTAATAAAAATACAGATACAAAGTGCTTAGAATTATGCCTGGTACATAGTCAGCACTACAGGATGGTTAACTATTATTATTACAGTCATTATTACTATTAACATTTAAAATAACAAATATTTCACTAGTATTCTTAAAGTTTAACGTTTATGAATGATTCATTTCAAGACTGTAATTTCAAAACGACAAAGAATATGTAAAAATCATATTGGGAATTTTATCAGGACAAGCTAATGAACTACTTAATAAATGGTCTCAGGAGAAACAGACCATGTGATCCCATCTGAATAAAGGGTTGTCAGGACAATCCAATGGGGACAGAAAAGCTTTGTCAGCAAATGGCACTGGGACAACTGGATACCCACAAGCCAAAGAATGAAGCTGGAGCCCTACCTCAGATCATATACAAAATAAACTCAAAATGGATCCAAGACTTAAGTGCAAGAGTTAGAACCACTAAACTCCTGGAAGGATACACAGACATAAATCTCCCTAATCTAGACTGGGTAACGCTTTCTTCCATAAGGCACAAAAACACAAGCAACAGAAGGAAAAACAGGTCAGCTGGACTTCATCAAAATGCAAAACTTCACGTTTCACAGAACACTATTCAAAAATCAAAAAAGACAATCCACAGAATGAGAGAAAATATTTGCAAATTATGTGTCTAAGGAACTTGTATCTAGAATAAAATCTTAAAAATTCTTAGTTTAATAAAAAGACAATCCAATTAATAAATGGGCAAAGGATACAAATAGATATTTTTCCAAAAGAGATATGCAAACGGCCAATGAAGACATGAAAAGAGTCTCAGCATCACAAGACATGAGGAAAACGTGCACAAAAATTAATGAGGTAGCACCTGACACATGCGAGGATGACCACAATCAGACAGTGAGTGCTGGCGAGGATGGAGAGAGGAACCTTCATACACTGCTGATGAAAATGTGAAGCGGCACAGCTGCTTTAAAAACCCGTCTGGCAGCTCCTCAAAAGGTTAAATGAAGAGTCACCATAAGACTCAGCAATTCTACTCCCAGGCATATACCCGAGAGAAACGAAGACATACGTCCACAAAAAATACACACACAGATGTTTGCAGCAGCGCTATTCAGGACAGCCAAAGGTGGAAACACCCCAACTGTTCATCAACTCATGAATGAACAAAATGTGGTATACCCATATAATGGAATACTTCTAAGCAGTTTTTAAGAAATGAGGTACTGATACATGCTACAACATGGATGACCCTTGAAAACATTATGCTAAGTGAAAGAAGCCAATTGCAAAAGATTACATATTAAATGATTCTATTTGTATCAAATGCCCATAATATGCAAATTTATAGAGACAGAAAATAGAATAGTATTTGCCTAAGGCTGAGGGACTTGGAGGGAACTGGGGGGTGACTGCTGAAGGGTATGGGGTTTCTTTCTAGGGTAATGAAAATTTTCTAAAACTGGTTGTGGTGATGGTTGCACAACTCTTGAGTATACTAAAACCACTGAATTGTACAATTTAAATGGGTGAATTGTATGGTATTATGAATTATATTTCAATAAACCTTTACCCAAAACAAAGAATAAGAGAATAAAGGATATATTAAAACTTTAATTCTATGAAAATGAGGTTACTACTAATTTCATTTGTACACACATATACATTATCTAAAATTATATAACTCAAAAAACTGACCACCAATAATTCATTAATTCCATTCACTTAAATACTTCTTTTTTACTATTTGCAAAGTTTCTTATACATTTTCAGGAACTGTGTAAGGATAACAGAACATCTATTTTAAAAGTTTTAAAAAGGCACAATACTGTAAAATAATGTAAGGTTTTCATTTCACTCCCTTTCCAAAAAAGAACTTCTCTGAAGGTATTTCAAATTTGCTATAATAATATATATATATATATATTTTGTTGTGTGAAATTTAAAAAACACAGGAAATCCCAATAAGTATTTTTTGCGTTTCCAGCATACAAAATCTTTTCAGTAACAGTAAAATTTCCTCTAAACTTATTGGAAAATAACTCTTGCGATAAAATAATTACAAAAATAGCCAGAGCTTTTTCAAATTGTTAAGGACATGCCACAGCTGAGCTCTCTCGGTGGGGAGTCCAAAGACACCATGTGGAGCCACAGGCAGGGTTATAGGAAGGATGAAGATCAGAATAAAATCTTAGCCATTACAATAAAAATACCCTAGTTTATTACTTCTCTTCACGTGTTGCCTCAATCCAACCTTCTCTGCTTTCTGCTCATCTTCCCCCCAACAGAAGGAGTTTGAGAAAAAGAATAAAAGATAAAGTAAGTTTCTTCGTGCCTTTCACCATTAAAGTGCTTCTCAGCTAACTAGCTCCTGCCTGTCTCTGAGCCTCTGCACGCATGCGCATGTTCCACACCAGGGCAATGACAGGAGGTGGGGAAATGCCACCTACCGCTTCTAACATTTCCATATGTGCATTAATTGCATTAATTAGTCTAAACCTTTTCTGTGCTACTTAAAGCTCCCACCCACTCCCCTGGCAATACCAAAACAAATGAAGTGTATTCTAACGTTCAGAACATCTACAAAATAAATGTTCAAGTCCCTCAAAAAACTCATTAAAAATTTATTAATACACACTCAGAACATACCTGACTTTGTTGCTTTTGCTTTTTATTTTAAACGGGGAGTTAATCTGTATCTATACTCATTCATTAAAAACAGAGTGATCGCTATGAGCCAGCTACGAAACTGCATCATTTCACAACTATTTAACTCATTTATTCTTTTTCATAGCATGGGGTGTGGACTGCTCTCACCCCTGGTGCCCAGGGGAGGAAACTGAGCGGTTCTGCTCCTGGCCCACGGTCACGCGCAGGCCCCACCTGGGGGCAATCCGCCTCCCGGGCAGGTCCTCTTAAACACTGCCCTGTGCTGGTGCCCCCCCCCCCTGCTCCACGGCATCAGGGCGCAGGCATCAACACTGAGGCTGTCTACTTTCTCCCAGAGGGGTTCTCGGACGGTTCCGTGCCGAGGGCGGTGTGCAACCGTTACCCCGAGATCCTGAGCTGGTCAGATGTGGGTAGAACCTGCCTCTCACACCTCCAGCCTCATTAGCGACCATGCGACTTAACTTCTCCCACCCGTAAAATGGAGACGACACCCCCCCTCACAACCCTCGCAAAGTCAGGACCATCTCGTCTGTGGTGACAGAAAGGGTCTTGCACAGAACAGACACACTTCTTAAAATGTTCTCTTTCTCTCCTCTCAGGCCGCCTTCCCGATAGGCGCACTACTGCTAGGTGCTGTCCTTTAAGGCCCTTCTCGGGGCTTGTTTCTTCATTATTTTACAAATGAAAAAAAAACAAGGCTCAGACTGCTTCTGGGACCCGACATTTATCAAAGCCCATGCTCTTGACTAGTACGTCAAATGGTGTTTTGATTATTTTTTACCCATTCTTCGTATAAGATTTTTAAACAATGTATTTATGTGGGGGTCAACAATTTTTTTCTCTAAAGTGCCGGACTTTAGGTTTCGCCAGTCATCCGGTCTTGTCATACCTAATCAATCATACTACTGTAGCATGAAAGCTGGCACGGACAAGACATGACTGAATGGGCATGGCTGTGTTCTGACACCTCATCTACAAGAGCAGGGGCTGGTCAGCCCTGGCCATGGGCCATAGTTTGCGATCCCCCTGTATTCACAGACCGGACTAAAGCTGATGAGGGAAATCTTCCTATTTATGTGGAAACTCAATCACTAGAGCTGAGAGTTACTTGTGCAGGCACTTGACTGTTCTTCTCGATTTGCATGAAGTCTAAGGTGTTTGTACTTCCCAGTAGTACCGTGTGTGGCCTTTACACACTCAGCTGCTCTGACTGATCCAAGTTCAGATCAATGAACGAGCACAAGGTCAGAACACCTCACAAGATGGTCAGAATTTTTCTGTTCACTTAAGGGAAAAGGATAGCATCAGCCAAAAATCTTAACTAAATGTGACGCTGGCAGTCAGTTACTTAACCTTCATAAAATGATTCATTCCTCTGTACCACTGATTCATTCAAAACAGAGCTTGTGACTTGATTTGCATTCTTCATTTGCATCTAACACAGTATATTCTAGAAATTTTGGGGTATTAACAAAACCCACACACCAACGGATTCAATTTCATATGCAAAAAAAATGACAAGACTACAAATTTTACTCCTCTTTAAAACAGACCGACAAAAAACCACAAAGACACCTGAAGTGCTGCCGGCCTCTTCAAAGTCGATATTTCCAAGGTGCAGGACACCAGCCACCACCCGGAAAAGATCAAGCTTTTCTTCGTCATCCAAGCCAATCCTCTTCATGGCTGTGCACATCCTGATAAAATCTCCATGGTCATCCAACAGGGGATCTTTCAAGGAACCTGCCTTAAGATACTACAAAACAAGAAGGCATTGACTGACCGCTCTACGTCATGTCAGCACACTAAAACTACAAGGGGCCTGTTAACATACTGCATGACATGCAAAATAAAGTGTGCCAACGGAAAAGCCTGAGCATCCCAACACATTCAAAAATGAAATGACTGGGCAAAGTGTACAAGGGTCTCTCTGAATAACTTCTTTCAACTGCATGTGAATCTACAATTACCTGAACAAAAATTTAAGTCAAAATGGAATAAGATGTTTTCCAATTAAACTACAATTCAACTCTAAAGCATTACAGTGCTACGATATTAGATAAAAATACACACTGAGTAAAAAAGAAGGGAATACCAGTGGTTGAATTGCAGTAACAATAATCTACAGGTCAGAAAGAACTGGGATAAAAAACTGAAATAAAAATTTTAATCTGACATTATGCTTCTTAGATTTACTGCCTTCAACTGCACCCAATATTCAGTAGTAGTAAATAGTGGACAGGCTAATAACAATTTTCATAGCATCAATTATTTTGTAAGCCTTTCTGTATAAGTGTACATGAGGTAAAGTGTATTAGTAAGCATCATGTTCACTCTAAAAATTTATGCAATGACTGAAAACATTTTTTAAAAAGTAGAGAGAATATTTGCTTTCTCTCCTAAAAGAATTTACATCTAAAAGGATTCATGTAGTAGAACCTAGAACAAGCTCAGAAAAAGAGAAGAGAAAACCCAGACCTGCATAAACTAGATGGAGAAAGATTAAAATTACTGGATACAGAAAGACTGGACTAGGAATTTTCCAGAATATGAGAGTAAGTAAAATGAAACATTTTGTAACACAGTATCAGAATTCACTGGCCACTAAGACGCCCCCAAGAGATGTTTTTCCCTCCCAGTTGCCAAATGCTTCTCAGCTATAGTTGTAATTTTCTTTCCACAAAAATTCTTTAAAATGTTTAATTATACTTGAGTGAAGCTTCTGGAAAATATCTAGGTAAATGAATTTACTTTTATTCTTAAAAGAAGCAAAGGAAACGATCACATGCAGCCAAAGTTAACAGAAAACAGGTATTATGCAGAACTTTTAGTCTTGCAATTGAATGGTTACTTCATTTAAAAACTTTCTAATCAATGTGAATATGTTGCTATTATCGTAGACTAAAAATTCTGCATTCTCCTCAAGATTACACACAGCTTAAAGACACACAAATGGAACTAGGCAAAGAATTCTAATTAGTCAAAACGATCACCTCATCCTCCTGATAAAGAAGACATAGAAAGTAATTTAAATGTATTAATTCATTATTCATTTGTACATTCATATATCCATATACACACACACCCTCAATAATATGAGTAAGATTCCTAACAAAGTACGCTGACTTTAGAATCAGAAAGAGTACATTTTTTCCTTAGGAGAGCACAGAGCGCGCATGCCACTCTCTGGGGAGTAGAATCCAGTCTTCTCTCCTGTCTACTTAGTTTTGTTCCATGCCAAAAGGTCAAATTTATATGTACTTTTCCCTTTAGGACAGTTGCAATATCCCACTAGAAATGTCTCCATTATCTTAGTGGAAAGAACACAACTTCTCTATTTGGATGATGCCTCATAAAAATATAGGTCATCATGACAAAGACACCTCACAAAGTATCAAGAGCGCTGCTGACTGTTTGCAGCCATGGGTGCAACGGGGCTCGTGATTCACAACTCAGACGTCTGTGTCTGAAACATAAATAAAATGTCAGCTTCAATAACAACTACCTGTGCTCATCTGCTGGGAATTTGAAATGGGAATTTTTATTTGCTTTCTGTTCTTTTCTATGAATATACCTAAGATATAATTCATCTCACTCATTTTGAAAGGAGCCGAACACATCTGACTCACAAATGCAGAGCATTAAACACTGAATATAATAAAAATGCGTTCAATTAAATACTCAATATAAATTTTTTAATAAAATTAATAAAGACAAAATGAACTAGTCCCTGTAACTAGTCCTGACTTACTATTTCATAATTTAAGCTCCTTGAGTCGATACAATGTAATGTCCCTTATTACTTGAACACTGCATATTATAATTTATATGGGTTGTAGATTTTTAGGCTAAGGATTTAATGCTTTTAAATAATACTTAATGGTGTAATTATATTTACTTACTCTAAGAACTACAATAATTTATAAATTATAATAATAAATACAGTATAAAACTTTCCATATTACAGAAATGTGACATTTTAAAGAGAAATACAGTAATATATAACTGCTCACAAGATTAAAAATTAAGCTTTAGTTCCCAACAGTGCTCACTCTATTGTCTACTTCAAAATTTACTTCAACCTTGAAGGAGACAATCCCAAATCAGGAATATGAGAGTAAGTTTCAAATCACGTGTCAGCACAGGGTGATCCTTGGCGATTTAATGCCTCATGCGGGCAGGGGTGACAAGACGCGGCAGACCACCAGCACCGACAGAGGAGAGGGCCGCAGCCCCTGTGGGGCCCCAGATGCCCTAAAGCTCGGGCTGTGAGCATGCCTGGTGGGGGGGGGGGCGCTCAGTTTTCTAAAGTGTAGGCTTAAAAGTAAGAAATCACATTTGGGCTCCAAAATAAATGTAAAAATCTTTCAGTATGCTTTTTTGGTACTAAAGATTTTAACTTAAAAAAATAGTATGTACCTCAGGACTTTTTCGATTCTGTAAAATCTGCTTGTCAGTTTCTTTGGTAGCAAAGTATCTGGTGCAGCCTCGGTTTAAATACTGCAACAAAGAATTAAAATATAATTAACAGATATGACACAGGAAGACATACAGAAGAAAACACAACTTATCAAATAGTGCTGACCATAAAGATTTTCTAGACATACCCGAGTATCCCATTTAATCTCTCAATTGGAATTGATACTTCTCTGTATTACCAGTATTTCACTCCTACTAATCAAACCAGGGAGTTGAAAATCCTAATTGCTGAAAGTAGATTAAATTAAATGATTAACCTAAAAATCAATACCATAAAGCTTTCCTATTTGTGAAGGGCAGTAATTTTAAATCTTCCCAGTGTCAAATATCTTACTAGAAATAAAGTTCATAAGATAAGTTCTACAGATAATAATGAAAAAAGCACCCCCCTAGTAAGTACATAATCTCAAATAAGGACATGGTGTTTGGTTTGATCTTGGTTTAGTATTTCAAGTAATATTTAAATTCTGAATAATTAACAATTATTTTCCTGGGGTTTAATTTCTGAATTCTAGAATCAGTTTTTCAAAACACAACCTCATACTTGCTGACAGCTAACAGTGACTATACATCAATTACAATGTTTGCTTTATGAACCTTCCTAAGTATTCAAGTAACAATCTAAGCTTTTATATCAATGGTTTACTCTGCTGCCCAGAAACCTTCTAAAGGCTAAGTGCTTTCAAAATATGCTACAAGCAAGCAGCTGAGAGGAAGATAATACTGGTCTCAAATATCTGCTACCCACATTTAAGGGCAGAGGGAGGTCAAGAAGGAAGTGCACATGGACAAGATGGGAACATCTGTGAGACATGCAGCTCCTCTGAAGCCAGGTCACTGTGACTCCACTGCCCCTTGGCATGAACTCTGAGATTAGAAGCACATCATATAGATACCAAGAAAAAAATGTATAATAAATTTTGAATGATTTGGGGATGAATTAATATTTTTAGATGATCACTATACCTACCCTTCCCCCTCCATTATAATGAAATATTAAAATACAGTTAAGACCAGAAAATGATACACAGTGAGTTTTTCTTTCTTCCCTAGAATCTGGGAGAAAAAAGGGAAGAGAGGGGAGATAAAATTGACAGACATTCTCAACTAACTACTTCTAAAAAAGCTCTTCTGTTCAGTAAGGCGGCAGCACCGTGAACACACGGAGCCAACACGAAGGCTTCTTTGCTGGCAGGAGTTTCATCCCCGCCCCCAACTGTTTTATCAGGTATGTGGCTTTTTGGCAGATGGACTTAATATTAAAACCAAGGAAAAATTCTGATTTCCCCTAACTTTTCTGTAACAAGAAAGCTACAGCTCTTCTTGTTATCCATTCTCATGCTACCCAAACTATGTTCAAGGGTCTTCCCATGACTACGGCAAATGCTTCCACAAATGTGCAAAAATACTTGAAAACCTGAATAATGAAAACTTTAAACCTTTCATTTTCTAAAAATACATGTGTAGTTAACACAAATGTTTCAAACAGGTGTATCTCTATAATTCTTTACACACTTAATTTGGATAATGACAAAAAATAATTCTGTAACTGGTTACTGCAGTGTTCTCCTTGTCTTTACAAGCTTATCTATGAGTTATAACTGGAGGCCTTGAACTAAACTACAGAAACACCTGATGAAATTTCCAACTCTTTCAAATCACTTTAAGGCAGGAACCTTCGAGGGAAGGGATGCAGAGGTGTGCTCGTGCAGGCCTGAGAGGCACACCCAAGACGGCAGACGTGTTTGGGAGAACGTAGGCTGGGTCTCTGGTCTCCTCTTCCCACCAAAAGAACTCTCTGTTAAGAGAGGAAGTCATGCCTCCTACGCACAGCGCAGGGGCAGGGAACTCGGACCTAGTTAAATCCTCTCGGGATGCCTACCACTGCGCCAGAACGGCCACACACCCTCAGCCACACAACCACTCCCAAGCCTCTGAGCAGAGAGAAATGCTAGATTAATACAAAAACAGTCACATCACTTTGTTAGCTCAGTGTTGACAAAGCCACATCATTATTAAATTTCCTATCATTCCTGTTCTAAAAATCACTCCAGAGAAATGCTTCTAATTTCATGAAGATAACATGGACAACTCTTCAAATTCCAGTTAATTTGGTGAGTTCCTGAGAAGGCTGGACATTTTTTAAGTACATGAATAGATACAGTTATAAAGCATTTTAAAACAATAGTTTTTTTTAAACAGTGAAGTTTTAAAATATCCAAATTCACATTAAAAGAAAATGCCTGAAGTAATGAAGAGAGGCTGGGTTGGAAAAACAAAAACATACTCACAAAACAACAATTAAACATGTGTGTCATGATTCTTAAATGGAGGACTTCTACACAAAGAGGCCTGTCAGTCACTGGAGAGCGGTTCACAACTCCATGCCTCATCTCCACCCCCGGATTCCCAGGTGTCCTGCACCGGGACACTGTTTTCCAGCCGAGCATCTGTAAATCATGCCAACCGTCTCCACATCACCTCCGGAGACGCGCCTGGCAACCTCTCTGGACAGGCGCGCCTACTCACTGTCATAGCTTTGCACGGAGCACTGGCGTCTCCCAGACCTGTCACTCCAGCACTGACCCTGGTCTCGAGATTCAAATACCTAACTGTCTTCTGAACAGCTCCAGTTAGACGTCTACAGGCTCCAAAGCTGAGCCCATCCTCTGCCACAAATCTTCCTGCTGGCCAGCGTGCGGTTTTTACAGCCACCGAGTTCCCTAGCCAAATTTTGGAAAATTACTCGACTCCCCCCCTCCCCATATCGTTCTCCATCTTTCATCATCTTACCTCCTGACGTCCCCACACAGCCCCTCCTCTGTAATACTGCCCTCACTGACCCCGATTCAGGCCTGAGGGCCTGTTCCTTCAGCGACAGCTCCAGCCCCCCAGCCGGTTTTCCCACGGCTGCGCCTGCCCGTCAGTTCCTCCAGCCCCTCAAGCCACCCCCCACGGCAGAGCCAGTGGAAGGACGGGCCTGACATCCGACTTCCTACCTGAAGGCCTTCATAGCTCCCTATTAACTAGAGAAGGAAGACCAACCTCTCTCGCCTCGCCTCCATCCACTCCCACCCTGTTCTTTTAAGGCGTTTCTTGCCTTCTTTGCTCGTCATTTTGCCTGTATCAGGAATACCCTTCATCTTTCTTCCTCTAGTTAACACTTGACAATCTTTCAGGATTCTGATCAAGCATCAGTTTTTCTGGTAAGCTCTTCCAAAACCCCCACCACCCTATGCACAGCACCCTATGTATCTCTTATTATTCAACAAATCAGTCAGACTGTGTGTGTGTGTGTGTGCGCATGCATGCACGTGTGTGTTCCCACCAGATCCTAGGGTGTGCAGGAACAGGAACTATGCCTCATTTATCTTTTTAACCCTGGCACATTGCTTGGCACCCAATGGGCAAGCAAAAATATCTGTCATTGAACTGAATTAAGAAAGACATGTATGAGTCCTTTGTTAATTTTTTAATTCAGTGGTCAAACTTTTTCTTTCACAAATTAAGTCAAAAATGACTTTAAAGTTAGCATCACAGGACTGTTTAATTAAGTTTAAACTGATAAGGGGCTTAACATCTATCTTTTTACCTGTCCCATTATGAACTTTCTCATATAGTGTGATATTATAAACTCAGCGATAAATCCCAACAGAGACCTATGCAGTACCCAAGTCATCCCATCATGTTACACTGGATTTCATGTAACTGCACACAACCAGATGTCAAAACCCACTGCCATAAGCTCTAGAACTAAAGGCAATTTAATTTTCGAAAACTATATGAAATTCCATTTAACCCAACCTACCCGAAAATTATCTGGGGAGCTCAAATGGAGCTTTTCCCTAATATTTTCAGAAGCACCAGCACACAACCTATAAAAGATATGGTAATTCCTTTCCTCTTTGCCTTGGACACAGATTCTGGATTTCTCTAGAAGATAATGTGAAACAAAGCCTCCAACAACTGAACTCTAAAAAACAAAAGAGAGAGAAAAAACATTTTGCATGCAAAGTCTTAATGAATAAACTACCAGTGTTAATTTTTCTACTTCACATTTGTCTATCAAAGAGGTTGTAACATTTAGCAGTATTATATAACCTATACCATATATATATATATATGCATATATACAATATGTATGTATAAAAAGGGGAGAAAGAGATAAAGGTAAGCCTAGAGTATTTACAGAGTTCACAGTCAACATATATATTCTATCTAAAATAATAGAAATTTAAATGAATTTGCCATAATTCAAGTATGGCACCAATTCTATCAAGACCCTTATATTTTTCAAAAAACACTCCCCAAACAAAGCAGCCTCAAACTCACTTACCTTTTCATTGAAATGTATTTCTACAAATTTTCCAAATCTACTGCTATTATTGTTACGAACAGTTTTTGCATTTCCAAAGGCTTCTAAGAGCGGGTTAGCTATTGAAAAAGAAATGAAAATATTCCTTCAAAATCTGAGCATGAAAGAAAATTACAAAACAATATGAATAGTATGTTTCCATTTACTAATATATGCATCTAAAAAAATTTTAACATGAAGGAATTCACCTGTACTGTCAAATCTGACAAATACTTATTGACTGCTACTATGTTCAGGCCCCATTACAGTGTAAAAGATGAGAATACTCAAAATATATTAAAAGAAAATGTAAATGTTATAGGAAAAACTAAATCTTAAAAAGTCACTAAGTTATAAAACTTTTAACTCAAATTTAAGAACTACTCCCTAAAAATTTTAAGTTTTTATAAGTACATCAGCCACTCAAGAAGAGTGATCATATGAATGGACAAAGAAGATGTGGCACACAGACACAATGGTATATTATTCAACCATAAAAAGGAAAGAAATTCTGCCATTTGCAACAACATGGATGGAGCTAGAGGGTATTATGCTCGGTGAAATAAGCCAGGGGGAGAAAGACAAATACCAAGTGATTTCACTTATTTGTAGATTATAAAAACAAAGCAAAACGGAGGGAAAAACAGCAGCAGACTCACAGACTCCAAGAAGGGACTAGTGGTTACCAAAGAAGAGGGGTTGGGACGGGTGTAGAAGGAGGCTGAGGGGGATAAAGGGTACTATAATTCACAATCACAATATAAGTTGGTCATGGGGATGGTAGTCTAGCAGGAGAATACAGTCAACGATTCTGCAACATCTTCTACATTGACAGATAGTAACTGCACTAGTGGGGGTGAGGTTTTAATAATATGGGTAACTGTTGGACCACTGGGTTGTACACTTGTAACCTACATAAGATTGCATATCAAGAATACTTCAATTAAAAAAAGTGATAATACAGAAAACCTCTTGTGATAAAATACAAGAAGCTGTGAGTTGACTTACTTTTTAAAATATTATATATATTAATAAAACCCCACATTTAACATTTTTACACACACATCCAACAAAATCGAATGAATCAGTTTATAAAATTGCCTACAAAATGTTCTTGCAAAAATAGTTTTAAATTTCCAATGAAGAGATGTAAATTTTCAGTTTTTATGATCACACATCACATCACATCACAGGGAAGGGTTACCGGAGTTTATTCTTATCCCACCAGTGCCTCCACCATGAGCACAGCAGATGATTGTCTATCTTACTCACAAGTTCTCTATCAACAACCTCACAAACTGCTTCACCATGTTTATCGCTAGAATACATCCTATGAAATCTGTTCATTTCTCTTATTCTATCACAGTAGAAAGTTTTATTCATCTCCAAATGTTTTTAAAGATTGCTCTCCGGGTGGTTCACTTGCTAAAGTGAGAAAGTGTCAGAACTAAGGGAAGGGTTTTAGCACAGATGCTACACCTTTCAGTTGGGCAAGAAAGCCCAGGAAGGTCAACTGACTTGTGAGGGCCACGTGACCGCGTACAGGCCCCCCCCATGACTCCTCTATATCTACAGTGCTGTGGAAGGACATAACATATCAAGTAAAACACCCAAAAATAGGATAAAGCCTCTCTATCAGAAAATTATATTAATACTATTAATGATGTATTCAATCCAAAACCCACAACCAATCCCCAATCAAGGACAGCATCAAAAGGTTTCAAATCCTGCCAGTTCGCATCTGCTGTTCTCCACGAAGGGGCCATAGAAACATTTGGAATAATTCTCTCTGAATCTTCTCATCTACAGCACACTACATATTGCCTGATGCATTCTCATGGAAGAAACCTGATTTATATCCAATTCTCAGTGGGTTTGCACCTCAAACAAACTGAAATACTAATTCGTATTTTACTGATTTAACCCATAATATTTTATTCAGTTTTAGAGGATGATCCCTCACAAAAGTATTTCCCTGTGAATAGAGTATTACTTATTGAGCTCATACCTGAGTGTCACAGTGAGAACTCTGTGTAAAACTAGAAAATTACTTACATCAGGAAACATAAAAAACTTTACTGATGAAAACCTTAAAAATCTTTATTAGAGTTGAATTTATATTCATCTACATGCATATTTTACATAATTATGAAAAAACATACATAACATTTGCTAGCTGTGAACCAGTAAAATGAATGGTACATAGAAGGTCCCTAATAAATTTTTGTTCAGCTGAAATTCTTCTTTAAAATGTCAGGAGCGCTGCAGTGCGCACTCAGTACCGCACACGTGGTGATGCCTGGCTTCACGTCCCACCTTCCCACTCGATGAGCTTTATCCTCTTCGGCAAGATGAAATCTCTTCCCTTAGTTTCTCATCTGTACAGTAGGAATAAAATTGCACCTACCCAATTCTGAGAAGATTTAAATCGGGTAACTGATTCTAAGCAAATCGGGCAACACCCAATACACCCCACATGGCTACCATCATCACTGTTATTAAAATCCCCGCTGAGCTCCCAGAGGCAAGCGGGGAAGAGGGGAGGTGAAGGCGCGTCCAGTGCCTACAGTGCCCCAAGGAACTAACTACATGGAGGCCGACGTGGCCAAAGCAAGAGACGCAGAGCAAACGGGAGGGACCCGGGCGGAGAAGGCGGAGGCCAGACGCACAGACGGATCAGAGGCGGGGCTCTACCTTGGCTGCAGCATGAAGCCATTAGAGGGTTTAAAGCAGAAGAGGTCATGTCAACTTCCACAAAGGGAACAGGTCAAAGGGAAGCGAGAGTGGAGCAGGGAGACCAGGGAAGAATCTCTGGGGGGGCGGGGGGAACGGACCAGAGTCTCCAAGCTGGGCAGCTGAAGGAAATCGTTTCACAGATCCTTGCCTTCCAAAAGTACTCTTTCCTTAAAGTGATTTACCCAAAAAGGTGCCTCAATTCCAAAGAATCTTCTCCCTCCTTCCCGTGTCACAAAAACCAAGGCCAACAGAACAAATCTGAGGACAGAGAGCTTCCCAGATGTCTTGCATTCGCCCAAAAGGTATTTATGGAGCACATGCCATAATGCAGGCACTATCCCAGGGGTCTGAAATGTGTAAAAATCCCCGCCTGCTTAGCCCTTCGATGGGGTGAGGGGGAAAACAATGCACATGAAGCAAATGAGATGATATCTGAGCAAGGATCTGTGGGAGATGGGACAGGTTTTTGGATTTCTGGGCGAACATTCCAGACCATTTAGAGGATTCTTAGAAGCTAATTTCGGTACATATCTAACAATAGAAAATAAGAATTAAAAAAATTAACAATACCTTCAACAATTCTATCATCAATATCTTGACCTGTTCCATAGGATTCAGTCAGATACCTGTATAAAATATAGGATAAAAAAATTTTAGATGACAATATTCATACATTGTGTTTATAATTTTAACATTAAACCAACATAACATGCTGTAATTCTAAACAAAGTGTAGAAACAAACAAAATCATTAAAACAAATAATGTATGATTCACTCCTGTGAGGTTTCCAGAGCAGTCAAAGCACAGAAGCAGAGAGCGGCGGCCTCCAGGGGCGGGCGGCTGGCGGCTGGGGCTCTGCACGCGAAGCTCGGGGCTGGCTGGCGGCCGCGTGAGGCCACTCGACGCTACCGGACTGCACGCTCGGGATGGTTAGGATGGTAAATGCTATGTCATGTCCTTTTCAATCACAATTTTTAAAAAAAGCCTGTTTCAAATATTCCAGGTTACCTAAATACTCCTCACCTTAGAACAAATTTTGTATTTTCCGTTTTGCCAGCTCCTGATTCTCCAGATACAATGATAGACTGACTCATCTTGAGTACCTTCATGTCTCGAAAAGCCTTGTCAGCTAGGGTCAAAATAACACGTTAATCATGAACAGTGTACTCAACACAAATTTACTAAATGAGAGAGAGTTCATTTAACTATTAAAAAAAAGGCATCTGCTCCTAAGGGAATTATAAGTGTGTGTTTACAGCTACTAAAATCTTAAAGTAAAAGCATTCAAAAGTATTCAAAACATCTCTGGAAGTACTTAGCTTCAATGTTCTAAATCACTACCCTGATAGCTAACAGGAAATCCAAATAAACAACTCTGAGTGTTTGTGCGAGCGCGTCCCGCAGCGGGAGCTCTGGCCCAGCCCCCTTGGCAGCAGAGCGTAAGTGCGGAGAGAGAACAGGCCTCACCGCACCGGACTAACGAAGCCCCCAGAGAAAAGCAAGCAACAGGCTGCCAATTAAGAAATCCAAGAACAAAAAATTCTACTAGGCAAAAAAATAATCACAAAATAAATCTGTTTGTTTCCTGTAGTACTACTGTGACCAACACACAGGCACGGGGAGACAGCCCAAGGAAAACAGGCCATGAGCGCCAGGGAGGAACTAACACGTCCTCGTGTGAGTGCCAGTCATGTCTGGACTACCTCGGTCACCCGCCGCCACAGGGATGTGTGTCCGGTGACTCCATCCCTGTCCGTCGGGGCTGGAGTTCCTCAAGATGAGCATGAGCCTAACAAAGGAGAACACGGGTCCACTGTGTCCCACACAGACTCCGTCAGCTATGAAGCAGACACTATGTCCAGTCCTTTAAATTTCCACAAAGCCCTTATCCAAGATAAGGCACACATGTCCACTCTTGCAGCTCACATCCAGCCAAGAAACACACTCATGAGCGAGGCCTGGGTGGCAGTGGGGAGCCTGGTCTCAGAGCTGTGAGCAAGGACGCTTTTAGGATGGAGCCAATGGTGTTAGGGTGCCAAAAAGAATTAGTGCCAGCTTTTACTGTGCTCTGTTGTCAGCTGGACAGACACTCTTCAGAGGACAAAGGCATTTAACAGAGGCCAGGAGGCACCTGCCTGTGAGGGGCTGTAAGCATCCTCCCACCCCGGGTGAGCCACGCCCCACAGCGCTGACACGCCCCAAGTGCACACGGAATACGTACTCGATGCATGGCATCCTTCATTAATCCAAAAGAAAACTGAGTAAATGTGTACAATATAAGGGAAAATGAAAATTGAGATACATTACTTACCAATTGCAAAGACATGAGGTGGCATTGTCCCAAGAGATTTGCCTTGGTACAACTTTATTGTTCCTGAAGAATATATTTTAGGTATGTCAAAGTATGGGTTCACTGCAATCAGAATGTTGGCGACATATGTCTAAGCAGGAAAAGCATAAACAAAATTTTCCAATTACTATTTTCATTTAAAACTAAACAAGGCTCATAGGAGAAAAAAAAATACAGCAAAGATACCTTCAGTTCTCTATAAACCAGACTCCCCAAGGAGCATTTCTAGCCTTGAACATTCCCTGGTCTCTATCATCTGCTCATCCCATATGTATCTCGAACTCAGCACGTCCAAAATCAAGATTCTCTCTTGACCTCCCTTTGCCTCAAAGAGAACATTCCCCTACCACATCGCCTCCCAAGTCCGCGTCGCAGGCACAGAGCAGGTCCCCAAGTCCCCTTCGCAGCTGGCCTCCTGCTGGCTCCGACCGCGGAGCCCGCTCTCTTAGCCTCAGTCCTACGGCCCGGGTTCTGTGCCTCGATGCTTCTCGGCTAGACGACTTTATTGGCCCCCCCTCCCCGAATATCTGACCTAGCTCCCCGATTCCTCCAGGCCTGTCCTCTGCACACCACGGGTGGAGGTAGCTCTGTGGTGATCACCTGGCCCCAGATTTTTGCCAAAACAACATACGTTAACTATTGCCTAGAATAATTGACAAGCTAAATGTTTAATGAGCAACTTAAGCTTGCTTTTAAATCTAGAACTTAACTGTAGCTTTAAAATACCAGAAAAATGCACCAAAAGGATTTATAAACTTCCTTGTGGGTAGAAAGAGGGTTGTGGTATAGCAATTAGTTGTGGTTTACTGGCCAAACTAGGGCACACAGGACCATATATCTCTCTTGACTGCTTTTGGCTGTAGAAGGGAAATGATGTGGAAACCCTGAGCTCTCAGACTTCTGGTCTAAAATTCAGGGAGTGCTCACAAAGATGTTCCCCAGAGTGGGGTGAAAAATAAGAAATTCCAGATAACAATCTTTCTATAGGAGACAAAAGGAAAGGAAGAAAGATTCTAACCAATGAAACTGTTAATTGTGAGTTCGCTGTTTCCCATACTCAGGTCTAAGAGAAGAATAGTAATAATCCTGGTTGGTGAGAAATAAAATTAAGAAATTTAAATTCTTTTTCCAAATTGCTTCCTTCTCTTATACATATTATGGTAATAACAGCTATATTTATGTATTGCTATTTTTTAATGCTTTTATAACTAAAGGCATAATTGGCTAGGATAAAACACACCAATCGCGGCTTCAGTTAATTCTGCAAATACTAGTTCTCCAAATAGCAGCCGACAATGTGAAACAGCCACTATCTAACAGAGGTCATTTGCCCAGCTGCATATATCTTAAGAAAAGAAGGATAAAAAAACTAGGAATAACCCTAAAATTCTCCAGTGATGTAAACATCATATATGAGAATCGAAAACTTAAATTTCACAGATATTTTTTCCTATCAATCGTGCAATTTAGCAAAGACTTGTAAGTCAAGTAAACTCCACATGAAAAAGGCAAGTACAATGAATGCTGCAGGCGAGCCTGTGGTCACCGGGGGCAACAGCCAGCCAGCTCAGCGCCACGCCACACAGGGAGCGCTAGACGCCCAATGAAACCCACGGGGCTCTGGTCTAAACATCCCAAATAAAAACAAAGTATCTCACTCTTTTAGAAGTATAATAATTTGTGAAGGTAATAAAAAACTTCCAGATTTCAAGAAAATGATACCAGAACAATTAAAATTTGCTCAAATAAGTAAGACTGTTTCACTACCACAAGTGATACAAGACATGTAAAGAAAAAGCAGTGCCCAGCCCTACCTGAAAGATATTTCCTGCTTATATCCAATTAACTTTCACTGACATTACAAGTTAAAGTGCTCTAACAAACTTTTAAAATTTATATTATTTTAGTACCTAAAACAGCATTTAGTGCACATCAGATGCTCAACATTAGTCTGTTGATTGAGTGAATTTTGCTTCTAAATATATTTCCAATCAAGAACACCCACATATTCAGCCATAAAAAGAAAAGAAATCCTGACATTTTACAACAGTATGGATGGAGCTGGAGGGTATTATGCTCAGTGAAATAAGCCAGGTGGAGAAAGACAAGTACCAGATGATTTCCCTCATTTATGGAGTATAACAACAAAGCAAAACAAAGAACAAACAGCAGCAGAGTCACAGACTCCAAGAAGGGACTGGCGGTTATCAAGGAGAAGGGGGTGGAGAGGGAGGGAGAAGGGGACTGAGGGGCATCATGATTAGCCCACAAAACGTAGGGGGTCACGGGGAAGGCAGTGTAGCATGGAGGAGAGAGGTAGTGACTGTAGCATCTTACTGTGCTGATGGACAGTGACTGCAATGGGGTTGGGGGGGACTTGATAACATGGGTGAATGTTGAAACCACAATGTTGTTCATGTGAAACCTTCATAAGACTGTGTATCAATGATACTTTAATTAAAAAAATAAGAATAGCCACATATCAACCTATATGTACTCTCTATTTAGTTGATTTTGAAAAAAAATCAAGGAGGAAGTAAAGACGTTACACTGTGTATAACCAAGAGATAGCAAATGAACTCTCCTGGAAAAGACTAGATCAGCTCCATTTCCCAGCTGTCACTATTTGGACAGATGGCAAAGACTAAAGGTAATTTAGTCAGAATTAGGTACGTACAATAGGCAAACTGATAGTGATATAAAAGATTAAAACTGTCATTTGATCTAGGAAGTGTCAAAGAAGCCATGTGTTTTCTTCGTTCAAAAATAATGAAGAGTCCCATCATTATAGCCAGAGAACTAGAGTGGGGTGGTGGTTTATGTCCAGTCAACAAAGAAATCTCCAACTAGGTCATATTAGAAGAAAACCTCACACATGCCCAGTGAGTAATTATAATTAAAACATACTAGTTAATATCCACCTGAATGATTTGGGGCAACCTTATTCACATTAAAAGCACTGTGCTTCACTTATTAAAATATTCTGAATTTTTAGGGTGAAAAATCTATTTGGGGTTTTGTTAAATACTGTAACTATTCAGGCTCTATGATCAGCATGTCAGTGCCCCTGACATTTCTTCAGGTACATCTTTTTGTCATTCAAGTTTTTGAATTTAATATATACTCCTTATAAGCTGCCTTACGTTCTCTGCAGAACAATGTGGAAAAGTGAATTAATTAAATAGATCTGCAAACATGTCAGAAGTAACAAATCAAAACCCAAAACAATTAATTTTTTTTAAACAACCAAATTGAATATTTTTAAGTCTGGAGGATATTAGATGATGTTATGAATTCATTACTTCATTCCACAAATATTTAGAAGTGCCTACAATATACCATGCATGTTCTAAGCCTGTAGTTGATATTAGATGATGTTATGAATTCATTACTTCATTCCACAAATATTTAGAAGTGCCTACAATATACCATGCATGTTCTAAGCCTGTAGTCAGAGCAGTAAATCAAAGAACAATCCTCAGGAAGCTTACAAGCTTTTCAACAGGCTCAGATCAAGTATGACTTCCTGTTAGAAAATTTCAAGCTTAAAAAAACAAACAGTAGCATGTAAAATAATTATCCCCAAAACCATAAACCACAGGTAAAATACTTACATAAATTCTGTCTTTATTGTATCGAACTTTGATATTATGGAGGAGTGTGGCTTCATTTAAATACATTAGTGAACCTGAGACATAAAATTTGTAAATCATTAGATCTTTGAAGAAAAAAGTAAATAAAACAGTATTATCTTAATCTGAATCACCCTGATTACATATCTGAGTGTATACTATATTCTGACATAGTCTGTCCCACTGTCCCTGCCCTCCAACCCTGGGCCCCTTCCTGCATCCCCCCCTCACGACAGGGCAGACAAGCCATCCTCTCCCCAGCCACCGTGTTTCCCCTGCGGGCACCGCCAACCATCAGGACCGCAAACCTAGTCAGTCCTAGGAGCATCTATCTCCTCTCCCCCTGCTCGCTCTAAGCCAGTTTCCACATCTTCACACCATGTCATGAAGCATACCAGAGTACCAGGAGAGAGGTAGGCACGCAAAATCAGCCTTATCTGAATCTCTGAAATGTCTCTCCTTTCCTTCCATTTCTACTGTCCCATCCCAGTTAGATTTCTTCGTCCGTTTTGTCACCCTAATAGCCTCATAACTGTCTGTCGCCTCAGCCTCTCTCCTCTCTAATCCAGACTGCTTGGCACGTCGATCCAACTGAACTAGGGCCTTAATCAAATCTTTCTCCTCCTCAAAAAACATCAGTGGGTCTCCATCAACTACCAAAGTCTATATTCAAGCCTCAAGTTAAGCCTGCATTCAACTGACATTTTCATGATCTTCCACAACTCCCTTTACTAGGGTCTCACCCGCAGGCAGACCACACTATTCACCGAACCCGACTACCAGTCATGCACTGGGCTCTTCCTCTACATCTCCGGGCCCCAGAATCCAGCTGTCCTTTCAAGTCGGTTCGAAGCTCGTCTCGCGGATGATCCCTCCCCGTTAGTGGCACCAGCACCACCACAGCCACCTTCTGCGTACTTTCTTCAGGGCGCTTAGCACAGACTGCCAGCACCGCAGTAGCGATTCTGCACTGGTGTAGTTTCGGGGAGCTAACCCAGGCCCCCGAGGGCAGGACTCTGCCTGACTCGCTGGCTGGCTGGTTGGCGCCTCGCTGAGGCTGCATAGATGCCCACAACTCAACACCCAGGCAACTCTGCGAACAAGAGCCTCCTGCCCGCCCTGTCTCCGCGACGACCGCCCACGCTTCCGTCCTTGCGGAACGCAGCCGTTCCGTTCCAGGCGCACACGCCTCACTTTCCGCTGCGCCATCTCGGGCACGGTGGACAGAGTAAAAAGCGGGTGGGGCCTCTCACGGCTGACCAGCAGCTTTCCTTTCAGTCGAGGGAAGATGTGGAGAAGGCAGGCGGCGCAGGCGCATCTGGCTTGGGTCTTGACCACCTGTCCTACCCTTGTCCCAGCAGCCTGGTCTGCACGCTGCCTTGTCTTATCAAAGCACGACGCTGAACCCCTCCCCCGTCTCTCACCTTCCTCTGAACTGGCTGGTATAGGATAGTCTCTGCTTCCTTTAAGTAAGAGTTCCTAATCCCACAATGCAGTTCCCCTGGAGAGCTGATCAAAGAACGCTGAACCCCACATGTGAGTGACTGTTTGCTCTCATTTGTTCACCACCTTCCACACTCAGCGCCAGCCCTCGCAGGAATATCTGCCAATTAAACTAAATAAATCCCTAACTGGTGAAGAATCTGCCGATGACAGTAAGAATCTGGACAAGAGGGTTTTCCTCTTAGGTCACATTACTCAGACTATTCCATTTTCATGAAGATTTGCAAAGTGGGGACAGAAGAAAATATTTCCCACTCTCAGTCTGCCAGAATGGGAAGTGGTTAAGTCCCCACTGCCTGTGCACTCCCTAAAGGCACGGCCTGGGGCTGTCACCAGGGCCTCAGAAATGACCTCCTGCCCCACCGAGCGCCCTCCTGCTCTCCCCTCCTGGCAGCCAGCCACTTGGCGTGGCCACTTACACGTGATCCCTTATGTGAGCTGTTAGCCTTTATGGCCTGATCATTCATAGACTTAACTACACTCAATATTAAAATTTTAAAAACAAGATGTGTAATAAGACAATAAATACATGTTTCTTCATGAACTCTCTAGGAAGCACTTTGGCTTAATAAATACACAGCAAGCACACCAAAGTGTCTAATGAAGAGCGAGTATGATGTGATCATTAAATCCAGGGCTCTGGCTGGGGGGGTCACCTGGTTATTGAAGACCCTGCTGCTCATGACAGCTCAGTTCACTCAGAGGAAGAAACAAGGAGCCGGCCCGCAGCTTGAGCGCAGCAGAAGCCAGTCGGCGCTACAGTCACAGCCGCACCGGTCACCCCATCCCTGGGAAAGAGGCTGCACAGGAGCTTCGGG